CGTGATTTATCACTTTTTGCTTTATTTGATAAGTATTTACAACATTTCGATATGAACGTTTGTTCCTATAAAGGAAACTGATAGTATTAATGAGTTGGCTATGAAATAACTTGAATATTTGCAGGAAATTAATGTTTTCAGTAAAATAGTTGTTGAATGTGAAAACGCTGTAGGATAATTTCGCGCACAAAGAACAGATTAATATTTGTTTTTAATTCCGTAGTAAAGTAATGGCGAGTGGTAGGTAAGGCCTCTTTATATTCACTGCGCGCGGTTGGTATATTAGAAATTCTCTGTAAGTATATTCAGTGGTGCTGGACGTAGTCTGTAGACTGCTTTGTGGTTTAAATTCTGTGGAAAGTGCGAATTGTGTATGAAATAATCGCGTTCCCCTTGGCCGTATTCCTCTGTAATTTAAATGCGGTTGTCTTTACAAGTAAAACTTAACTTCGTAACTCTACATCCAGCCAAATGTCAGGCCAGATATGGAGCTTCAGCTGAGAGACCAGATATATGATAATCTGCTACCTGGGCAGGGCTATCGCAAGTCTCAGGGGGGGGGGCGGTGGGGGATGAGTGTAGAGTAATGGTGGAGTGGTGATTAGTAGGATAAAACTGCAGATGCTCGAACAGAAACCCGCTCCATTGCCAGTTTGTCCACCGTGAAACATATGAATTTACCCAGGATTGAACGTGTAACTGGAACATGCGTTATGTGATCATTCGTTCGCTTAGTGCAAAATGGTAGCTCAAAAAACTAAATTTAAAAAGAAAATGAACAGTTGGTGATATTTCCTTCTACCAGATGTAGTGTTAGGGTGTAATGAGTCAATCGCTTGCATTCAATGTGAATTTCTTTATTCAGGTAAAACAGGCGTCCATTTTGTAAGAGCTGGCCCCGCCATTTTATTTACCCTTCTGCACGATCTTCATATCGCGTCATAGGATGTTGGTTGCTTTTCAGATCTTACATATATAGGGGATATTACTGTCACACTCGATTGTAGCGCCGTTGCTAGGATGCTGAGGAAAGTGACCTTGTAATATTGGAGTGCAGAATGCATGTAGGATGCAATAGATATCGGTATTCGTCAATGGACCAGTGATACGTTTCTGTTGAGAAACTTTTTAACGTAAAGGGGATGTGGGAAGAGACGATGAGAAGAATTAGGATAGAATGGAAATAAAAGGAACGGGAAATGAATACGGAACAAACGAGATAACTAACTTCATGGACCTGAGCCCTTCTTGAGAAGCCGCCAGCTGCGCAGCCACTCGAGAACTTCGCAGCATTTTCTGGAACCCAAAGGTTCATTATCTTGTTCACAAGAGCCCTCCACTAGTCCCTATCCTGAGCCGGATCTGTCCAGTTCATATCACCTCATCCTATTTCGCTTTAAGATCATTTTCCACGTACCAAATCTCACGTCCATTTTCCTTAGCTTAGGTCTTTTATCCAGATAAACTGTCCAGGTCTGACATATTTTCTGAAATATCATAACAAGCTTACTTTTTACGGCGAGGAGCTGGAGGACTACCCCTTGTCGGCTGTCCGTGACTGCTTAATCAGTATATACACAGCTACCCACTGTATACGGAGGCAGTATTCTCCATCTGCAACCTGAGAACGCGCCATGCCGTCGTGACAAAGGACCCACCTAACCTAAGACAAATGAGATGAAGGCACTGTTACGGGACTGCACTGAGTTTCCGACGAGCGTGACACCAGAGGAAATACAGTCCTGCAAGACTGTGTAGTTTCACGGTTTAGGGTATCATGAACATTTTGCAGTCGTTTGCTCTCGGGTACAAGTGAGGAAAATTACCGAACTCTTATTGATACTCTAAGTCAGCGGCTGAAACTATTAATCATTCGACGCCCACGGAGTTCCCAGAAGTTGCCTTCCGTGCAAAATAAGTCGTTATGAATAAGATATAAATCATTCTTTGCTCATCCATATCGCTGTAGTCTCCTGCTCTTTCCTTGAATCTGCTCATTTCATTTCCAAGCGGATGATTACGTTACAGAAATTAATTCCTTTGCTTAGCGTCCATCTTGTGAGGATTATAACAGACATTGCCGGTGTAGAGATTTGATTTTTTTTTCTCAGCTGGTAATATGCAGATTGAACATTACAGTTTCCCGCAATGTCTCGCCGTATAGTCTGGTAGGACTTTACCAGTGTTTCGAAAAAACCTGCTGCTTCCATCTTCAGGAGACAACGATCTTCATAATCGGAATTTTAGGTTCTTGTGGCAGTGTCTCTGAAGATTATTGGCTTCTGGGGTGCGACAGCGTGACGTCGGGTAGTAGAACCTGGTTCTACAGGTTTGGCGTTGGGCGCAAGGCTGACGACCTTGCTCTGTAAAATTATTTTTGAGAAATCCAACGAAGTGAAAACCAGATGACAAATCTGGCAGAATCTTCTGAGGAAGGCTGTGGGGAAAAGAGGGCTGTTTTGTTAATAATGGTACGGTTAGGGCGGTTTAATGATGGAGGAAGAGACAAGTGGGGGTGAGAAAGACGGACGCAGGTCAGTTGAGGGGGTAAGTACCAGGCATGTGCCTCCCCAACCCCATGAACCTTTGAAAGTAACGTTCAGAGTTTAAAAAGAAGAAAATATACCAAACATTATTTTTTTAAAGAAAACAGTTTTCTCTTCTGAATATTCAAGGGCAATGCTTAAAAATATTTTTAAAAGAGGTTGAACCCAAATTTGTAAACAAATTTTGTGCCCTTCCCCCCTCGGGAAAATGAATCCTTTGCTTCGCCCGTAATAAAACAATTATAAACATAATCAGAGAATATATTATATACTTGTATGAATGTATAAGAGGACGGCCTTCTTGGCCCTTGCACCGCGACCACAGTGATCTCTTGTGCCTAGAGGATATATTATATACTTACCATATAGCCGGGGGCACGCGGTAGCGTAGTTGGTTGAGGCATTATGCTACTGGCCGGAAGGACGCGGGTTCGATTCCCGATGACATTGGATTTTTGTCAATTGACCAAATCCTTCTAGCCACACTATGGCTCTGGGGTCGACTCAGCCTCTGACAGAAATGAGTACCAGGACTATTCCTGGGGGTAAAGAGCGGTTGGCGCCTAAGGGTGACAACCTCACCGCCATCTCTGAGCCGACTGTCTAGAAAATGTGGGAGCCTCGACGTCTCACAATAGAACTATAGCAGCAATCGGACTAGACCGCGCGGCTGCTCGGTCCAGTATCCGTACATGTAAGTATCATTGCGCCGCCGGATGAGAAGGACGCAGAGTCGCGCACATGACAGTTGATCCTTTCAATTAAAATGGTTCAAGGAAGTCGCTGTAATTAGTTCGAAATAGGAAGTACGAGCCTGTATTTTTGTTTTACATTCGAGCTGTACATTGTCCCTATAATAAGCACGCGTGTGTGCAGTGACCCCCCTTGACGAAGAGAAGGGAAGGAGGGAGGCGGAAGCAGGGTTTATCAGAGGGTGGGTCACTGCCTCGTACTGAACTCCATTCATGTCTTCAGCTCTGGCCTTGCGGACACAGCCCGTGCTTTTCGACGAAACTTTGGGTTGCGAATGAAGTAACAGAAGTGGTTGCAGCTGCGTCGTTGTAGGACGGCAGCGTGACGACGCACTGCATTTTTTTTAAAGTTTCTTGGGGTGGGTTGAGACTGAGTTCACTTTATACGTCGGCCACTGTTTGGCATATTGTAGCAGCCCTAGATGATAGATGAGTATGCAGTATTTAGTGGAATGAGAATCAGTAGAGGAAACCGAAGTACTCGGAGAAAATCTCCAGTGCCACTTTGTCCGCCACAAATCCCACACGACGTGATGTGGGATCGACACGCCGCGTTGGGAAGCCGGCGACTAATCGCCTGAGCTATGGCACAGCCGTGAGTTATTGTGGCCAAGATCACTACACACTACAGTGCTTATCTCAGTGGACTCGGATCATGTCCACTGCGCATTGCGTTGAGAACGACTTGGGCTAACAATACAACCAGTACTATCCTCGAATAAACGGAAGGCGAGGAAGTTACCAGAGCCCTCCTGTGTGTAGTGTGTGATTTGAAAACTACAGCATGTTTTCCAGATGACCCTTGGAATTTGTCTTTGGAACTTGTCGCAAGGTTCATCATCCTGGAATAGCTACTGAGACCATTGAAGTAGGGTACTTTGCCCACCCAAGCACTGTACTATTCGCCAGCTTTCCATGATGTGCAAAGAACAGGACTTCTAGTTAGTTCAGCTTGTATTTACTACAAGGGATACATTTGCCCAATTTCATGACTTAGACTTATACACAGTTTGATGTGGGAATCATGAATTGGCGAATTTGTTTTATTTTGACTTTAATCGGTTGGTTATAATGTCTAGAGAATTTTTTATTAGCTTTAATTTATTCGCAGTTCACATAATGATGCCCCCAGCAGCACATAACTGTATAGCATCAAAAGGTAGGGTGATGGGGAATGAAGATGTATGTGGCATTTGGAAGCAGTCGGTCATTGCATAATTACATGTACTGTGCTGGAATTTGAACAGAGGAACTGAGTAAGACCCTGAAACTTGAGGTATCAGGTTCCTCTGAAACGTTGATACCCATCTATGAGACTACGAGGCGTCACATTCCAGAAGACGGTAATATTCATGGTCACTGCTATGAGAACATCAGTCATAACAAATAAAATTGTTCCAGTGTGTGACCATGCCATGTGATGTATGGGGGGAGTGAAGTTATAACTCTACACATTCTTAATCTTGGCACTAGATGAAAGTGAGTGGTCCACTTCTTATTCTGGTCACTTCACCCCCAGGAAACATCCTTCAGTTCCCCTAGGATCGTGGGCTCTGTGGGCCCCATTATGATCTGGACACTGTAGAGAAGAGAAGAATCCCCGTCCTTGCTCCAGTTCCTCAGTTGTCCAGCCTGTAGCGCAGTCACTATACTGACTGAGCTATCTCACCTGGCTAACAAGTATGTATGTTGTGTGTTGCAGCCAGCTTCAAAGGAGATCTACATTTATGGTGTCGTCTTTTGCTGCCGGGCGTTATAAAGCGTGTCTACAACCTGCAAAGCAAACAGCTCATCAAGTTGTTTAGTAAGGTCAGTGGTATACACTGATGATGCACAGCCATTTTATTCTGTGGGGCCACATTGTCAAATTGCCCTCGTGTCTGTGGGCCACACAATGTAAACTTTATAAAGAACAGTTGAATCTTTAATTGTTATTGTAAGTAGGAGAAGAAAGTAGAGAAAACCAATTGAAATTTTTGAAAGAAAAATTATATTCTTTTAGAAATTGTACTAGAGAAATTAAAAACCTATTTATATAAGAAAGTTATAATGTATGTGGGGCATGCAGTAGTGTAGTTGGTTGAGGCACTATGCTACAAGCCAGAAGGCTGCAGGATCAAATCCCAATAAGGTGGATTTTTTCAATTGACCTAATCCTTCCAGCCGCACTATGGCCCTGGAGTCAACTCAGCCTCTAACAGAAATGAGTACCAGGAATATTCTTTGGGGTAAAGGGTGGCTGGCGCATAAGGCTGACAATTGTAGCGCCATCTATGAGCCGATTGTCTAGAAAATGTGGGAACCTCAACATCTCACAACCCGATGGGCCTCCACAGCCGTTTACAGGGATAGCTTTACTTTTAGTTATAATCTGTATGAGTATAACATAAGTATATATGGAATCAATTGTATTTTACCTTATAATGTATCTCCTTTTGAACTCATGTTCTTTGAATCTAGAACCAGAATCTAAACATTCACAAAATGTAAAGTATTGGTGCATTGGCCTGTATTTGAGGATGTGGTGGAGGTCACCATGAAGAGTATTGTCTTCTGGGATGTTGTGGTGGCAAAATGTTGCCAATGTTTCAAAAGGGCTTCATACCACCATCCTGATAATAGAGGAGTGGTACATTTCTACCAGACTACAAGATGTTGCATATCACAGGACAGCAAAAGTAATCTGCATAGTTCTGACTTTCACTTTTTGTTCTGCTGTTTACAGTGTCTGTTATGTTGTGTCTAAAACAACTCTGAGGGTGAATAATCATCACATGATGACATAGATTGTTGTGTCATCATTATGAAGTGATCACGCTCTATTTTCAATATACAGTTGAAACACTGAAGATTTCATTGAACACGTGGAAGTTTTCCATAAGGTTGCCCACTCAAGGTGTTATGTACCCCAAAATATGTTTTCAAGAGATTATGTAAAGCCTATTTCTGTACAGATCTTTCACACTGACCATGATGACATGTTGGAAGACTTGGAGCAAGGAGATGTAGCAGAGACAGTGAGAGTCTTCTTTGAGAGGAGTCAACATCTGCATCCTGCCAAGAAGAGCACACTCTCCTTGCAAGATGTGAGTGTTCATAATGCAAAGATAAAATCCTGAGTTAGCTCAGGAAGTAAAGGTTCAGAACCTGGCAGGGACTTGGAGGTGTTCAACAGAAGTAGAGAAGCTTAAGCTAATGTGAACCAAAGGATGAGAATCACAAAGTTTTGTTAACTAAATTACATTTTTTGCATTATTATTATTATTTCAGGTTGATAAGTTCTTGGAAGAACTGTCTGGCATAACCAAGGAGGATGAACAGATTCACCATTTCAAACAAATGGCAGAAATGTAAGTACAAACACTACACAGCACTGACAGTTCCCTTCTAGTGATGGCAGTTGGTATTTCGATAGACACATACTCTTATGATTGTCACTGGTTCTTGATATCATAGTCATCAAGATGTCTCATGTTTCTTTCATCAGATGTCACCCAATTTCTACAAAATCTTCCAAGGTAATAGAAGCTTTGTGAATCAGGGTATGTATTAAAGCTGTGATGTTCTGGTATATAATGCCGTTTAATTTGGTAGCTATGTGTTTCATAGAAATCTGCTGCCTCCATCTTTAGGGTAGACCAAGATTTATATCATGAAAATGAAGGCAGCAGGTTCCTCTGACAAAAAAAAAAATTGAATTACAACTTCCTGTTTAAAAATTTAATTTCTATTTCTGCCCTTTTTCTGTTTCTGTCAGTGCTGTACAAAATTTTCATATCCATTGCTTGGATTTTGCTTCAGTGTTATGTGTTAGTACCACTCTCAGATAGGCCTTAAAAATTATTGCTTTGCATTGTTTTGAGATATCTCTGTTCCATAATATTCATTTTATAATTTCATTTGCCTTTGGGGGAAATGCCACTAATAGCAAGGATGTCTTCATAGTGCAAAAAAGAATTATAAGGAGTATTATGAATGTAAATTCTAGAGCCTCTTGCCGGGGATTTTTTAAATATTTAAACATATTGCCTTTTTATTCTCAATATATACTTTCGCTTTTGCTTCTGGTGGTGAAAAATATGCATTTGTTTGCACTAAATGCTGAAATACATGTCATAAATACACGACAAAGTACCAGCTTACACGTGCCATTGATAAATTTGGCCAAATATAAGAATAGTGTGTGTTGTATGGGTATTAAAATATTTAATAATCTGCCACATAATTTAAGAAAATTATCGAGTGATTATAAAAAATTTAAGTTAGCTATAAATAATTTTCTCTTAAATCAATCATTTTATTCGATAAATGAATACTTGGAGTGGTCAAAAGAAAGGAAATAGAATACAGGTGAATATTTGTTTTATTTAGATACACTTATGTGTAGTAGTTTTTGTAGACTCTGTATAAATGTATGTATACTTTTATTATTAATTGCTTATAATGTCCATATTTTAGTTATTATTGATTTATTATACTAAGCATTGACTAAGTTGTATTATTGCAACTGTTTTATTATAGTATATTTTACTATTTGGGACTGCTTCTACAACTGTGGTGATTGTGTCGCCTGTACGTTTTTCTTGAAGCAATAAAGATATTATTATTATTATTATTATTATTATTATTATTATTATGAAATTTGGAACTTACTAAAACAATTTTCTGTTGCTGTATTATAAGAAATTCTATTTCAGGTGCACATCGAATGATCTGAAGATGATTATCCGATTAGTCAAGCACGACCTCCGCATTAATGCTGGACCTAAGCATATGTAAGTATCCAAGTGTTTGTGATATCTTAGGTTCTCACACCAGTAACTGTGAAGATTACCATCTTCTTTGGAGTGATGTCATATAGCCTGGTACATATTTACCAACATTTTGCAGGAACCTGCTGTTTGCATCTTCAAGGTAAAATCAGGTACAATACTCTATGCAGGAGGACATGGTCAGTGATGTAGCACATAAAAGTCCAACCTTTTCTAGGGCCACAGGATTTTGTTTTTTGTGCTCCAATCATTTTTATCTCAGCTCCAGATGTCTTCCCCTCCCTATGTCACAGGCCATCTTTCCCACACTTCTTACTCTTTTACCCTGAAGATGGAGGCAGCAAGTCCTCTAAAATACTGATAAATATCTACCAGACTACATGATGTCACATCCCATCCCATACCATCCAAGTCTTTGTGTTTCTTTGTTTTGTGGACTCGGGATCATGATTTTGACATTATTCTACAGTGTGTTCTGTTGTAGTTGTGCTGAAGTGTCCAGTTGAAATTCATTGCTACAGTAATTATTTCTTTTTGGTATTTCTTGCAGGATTTGGGTATTTTCTTGTAATCATTTATCTGTTATTAATGTAATAAAATTTGTGATTTGAATAGAAATTACCAGCATTCTCATGGAAATGCATAAAAAGTAAATTTATCGTTCCACTTTTTTCAAAAAGACATTCACCTCCAGTAATTTTACAAGTTGACGACATATCTGCTCTGATTTCTCTTTAGGAAGAAGCACAGACTGTTGTTGAGGTCAAGCATATTGCAACAGAACTGTCATTTTTGATTTGACAGTTCCTCATGGTTTGATATTTTCTGAGCCTGATGCTCATGTGAAAGTCGTAACTTGTTTCACAGATGTATGTCTTCTGCCTAATCTTTCCCAACTGGAGCTTAATGACATAGTCTTCATGTTTCCCATCAGAATGTAGCGCAATGATGTACAATTTCGAATTCAGTCTATACTCTCATGTTTGTAATAACGTGAATAAGTGCACATGTCTTAAGTGACTTCAACCTAGGAGTAGCAAGTTCAATATATCTTAGATGAAATTTGTATCCCCACACCTTTCAACTTCTGCCATTATGCTAATATTAAAATGAGTGTTTATAACAGTTGAAACCAGGAAACAAGTGGGCCAATCCAAAAGAGGAAAATAGGGTCAACAAAATGGAAGTTCAAAAGACAGCAAGAAAATACAAAATCCTAAAGACCATTTTTGATCAAAACAGCATTTGAAGGGAGATCTTGTTCTTGATCTTCGATATTTCTTTTTTGTCAAATTTAATTTTTTAAGGCAGTTTGCCTTTTATCCCTTTTTTATTTGTATATTATCCTCCAATGTCTATGTTTTATACTAAAATCACAGTGTTTTGGATGCTGGTTCTTTCTCTGAGACTGGTTCAGTCCAGTGGACTCATAAGATTAAGTTCCGCCTTTTTCCTGAAGTAGGACTGACTTTCAGAATGCTGTGCTTTTATTATAAACCTAGATGATTCGTAATGTCCAAAGTAATAATACTAGCTAGATTCGCTCTTACATGGAACTTATACTTCTGTATTCAGTTTGGAGGCTGTGCACCCAGATGCATACCAAGCATTCCAGATGTCTCGAGATTTAGATGCTGTTCTCTCAAAAGCTGTAGTCAGAACAGCAGATGGACATAGTTCCCCTACAAAGAAGACTGCTCTCAAAATAACAGCCTCACTGATGACACCTGTTCTTCCCATGCTGGTAAGATTTATTGATTATTTGGAGATCTTCACAATTAATTAATCTGAAGTTGGAGGCAGTGGTTTCCTGGAAAACATTAGTGTGTATCTACCAAATTACATGGCCTTCTATTCCAGAAGGCTGTGACCTTGGTACCCACAACTGTGAGGACCTCACATTTCATGTGAGATTTGAGGTTCTCACAGTGATAGCAGCAGCAGGGTATAAAGATCACAGTGCTGTCCGGTAGGCTATGGCCGGTGGTTAACAGGAACATCCTGCCTTCACTCTGAGGATGGAGGTAGCATGTTTCTCTGAAACACCCTTAATGATCTGCTAGAATACATGACTTCACATGCCAGATGACTGTAATCTTCAAATCATATTCGCTCCTGTTGATTTAATGATTCTTTGTCAACTTCAAAAGTTACATAGACATTGTTTATCCAAGTGCTATGAAACTAATGATATGCCTTTTGAGACCTTACTTTCAGAGTATTTTCTAACTCATTGTTATTAACTTGTGAACTGCTGAGGTGAGAACAGTATTTATGTCACTGTATGCCGGAATTTGGAAATTTTTAGCTGAGGCAGTCTTTGAAAATTATCCAGTTTTTGTTATAGTAATTGTTTCAGAACAGTGGGAGGTAACATGGTGGCCTCACAAAATAGTTGTATTTTTATTGCAGTAATTGGTGAATCAGTGTAACTGTATGTGTCACACTTGAATGGTGACATGTTATAGGTACACAGAATGGTGCAGGAGATATATACTTAATTTTATGGGTACATTAAGTGATTCTGATTAAAAAAGATATTAACATGGGCCCAATTAGGGAAGTTTGAGTGCTCATGACAGCTTGAAAGCTAAAGACATGCCAAAAATAAAAGTTTTTAATGAGAAATTTCACAGTGACTTGGATGTAAAACTAAAATACATGTTGTGTAGTAATGGAACATGCCGCAGGAACTGTTCAGTATGTCCACCTGTAACTTCAATGCATGTTTGAGCACAGCAGTGCACAGTGTTGCCAATGATTTCAGTAATGCACCGTGTTCAAGTTTGCATCCAGATCATAAGTGCGTATTTTAGTGTTGTTGTGACATGTATGTTTATTAAGTTATGCTTATTTTAGTTTTACATTCAAGTTACCAAGACATTATTCATTGAAACCCCATATTTTGAGTATGTCTTTATCTTATTTGACATGACTCTGTAAATTTTCCAAGTTGGTAGATGTTAACAGGACTTTTTCCTCCTTAACATGACATGATTGATTTACCCACAAAAGTCTGACAGACTTCTGTGAATTATCCTGTTAAGTATAAGCGGTATTAGAACCTAATAAGGCTTAATCCTTTGGAACTCTAAAATTCACCACATGAATTGAGAGTGCTTTTAATACTTGTTTAACTCTTGGAATATCAGCTTTGTTTCCTACAGTGCCAAGGGAAAGTACTATTAAGTTCAGTAATAAATAGTGTGCATGAAAACTTCGTAAGAAGTCTCAGTGTACCTCCAAATATTTCTTGACTATGCAGTTTAGATTGACATTTTGTCTGAAAACAGCAAAAAAGAATACCCAAAGTCAGTTACAGAGCTCTTAAGGCTAGAGGAAAAAAGGGTATGTGCAAGGCATCTGTTACTACATAAAATTCCTAAATTTATTAAAGAAATAAATATATATACAAAATAGTAATAGTATATTCTTAGAGTTAAGTTATGAGAGATGTTGAAAAATCACTGGGTGACCACTATATTAGAATAAGATGTTTATAAGAATGTGCTACAGAGGGCTGGATGGGCATTGCATAGGCTGTTTTTGTATATATATGAATTTTTTCAAAATAAAAAATAAAAGCTTTTACGAAGGTTGAAATTTTTGGCATTTGGCACTTGTAGGGTTAAAACGCTTTCTGAATGATAACATGTTTCATTTCAGCCTAAGGATAATGAAGATCATAGTAAAGAAATAACACATACACGTACTTCTAAAAAGCGGCGTGCTAATGGAAATAAGAGTCATGGCACGCCCTCTAGGAAGAGACGCCACAGCACTACGGATACTAGTGATAATGAGACGCAAGAAACTGTTACTTCATGCAGTAACTGTGATACAGACAAAACAGAAGATGAATATGCCATCTTCAGTAATTTTGTAGCAAATGAGATACGTTCTCTGAACTCTGAAGAAAAGAGGAGGGATCTCAAACAGATTATACAGAAAACTATTAGAGACATGATCGAATTGGATAACAACATTAAAGATGCTCATGTCAGTACAACCAGCGATACTGTTCCAGAACTGCCTTCAAATGAACAGTCTAGTGGTTCTCAGGAATGATCTCATGTCTTCAGTCAGATAAATGTACTTGCTGTTGGAAAGAATGTAATTTCCATGTGGTGTATAGTATTCAGGAAAGTTAACAAGAAATTGCTTATAAGCTAGAGTAGAAGTAATAATAACCATTTTGGACAGGCTCTCTGTTACATGTGTAACGATGTTTAAAAGATAATTGAAGGGAAGTTTGTGATCATGACAAGTTACAGAAGTATGTTGAAAGTTTTCTCCAAGTATGCATGTTAATAATGTACGAGGTTTTCCGTTGTATGATTTATATTAAGAGGGAATGTGTATTTGTGGTCCAAATACTTTACCCCATTTATTTCCACCAGGACCGGTTATTTTGATGCAAAGTTATGGCAACATTTCTTACTAGACTACTGAAAAAAACTACTGAGTCTGTCCAGACTGTGTGTCATATAGGACAGCAGTGGGAAATATGAAAAGCTGTTCTGCGCTTGGTATAAGACCTTAATGCAGGAAGGTAGAAAACCACACAGTCTGGGTTGGAAATGCAATGGAGAATTTAAAAGAGGGGACTGTGTCAAAGTTAGGACTGCAAAGGATTAATTTTAATTAAAGCAATAAGTCACTTTATATTGGCCAAATTTTCATTATTTTCTGCAGAGCTCCGTCAAGAGTGACATGTAAAACTTTTGTTTACACTTCTTTTTAAGATTTCATGAAGAATATTCTATTTTTTCTATTATTATTATTTAGAAAATTTTTATTTTCATTTGTTATAAAAAGGAAATATGTGAAAGTGCATATATGTAAGTCTTGGAGGAAGAAGAAAAAGAAGAGAGAGTGGAATAGTTACACAAGATGTGAAGTTTTCACAGCAGTGACTATGAAGATTACCTCTTCTGGGATGTGATGTTTTGTAGTCTGGTACTTCATTAGTAATGTTCAAGAGGAACTTGCTGCTTCCATCTTTACCTTGAATATTGAGGGAGCCCATTTCTCCCAAGCACTAGCAGATTACATGGCATCATACCCAGGAAGAAGTGATGTTCAGTAGGCTGTGAAGTGTACTGTCGTCTGTGATGTAGCTCAGTCTAGCTGTGAAGTCCAATAGAAGTTCACTGATGTTCCTCTGAAATGCCAGTAGACTTCTGCGAACTGCATGGTGTTACAGCTCAGATGATAGCACAGTTCATATCACTGCTGCAAGAACCTCAAATTCAATTGATCAGCTGAATTAGCTTTCTTTTTCTAGTTTTTCTCGTATTTGTGTGGAAATGTTGCAATGTGCACGAAAAAGACAGAGGCAGTATGCGTTACATTATAGAGGAGGCTAGAGTATAAAATACGTTCAGTGCATTTTTACCTTCTGAACTTCAGAAATTAATTTTGTTTGTTTACCTTTACTTAATGTGAAATAACCAGATTTTTCAGCAATGTCGTTAATTCAATATAATGCTTATGTTCTGCTACAAGCTGGAAGGTTGTAGGTTCGAGTCCCGATGAATTCATTGGATTTTTCAGTTGACCTAATCCTTCCAGCTGCACTATGGCCCCGTGGTTGACTCAGCATTTAACAGAAATGAGTACCATGAATCTTCCTGGGGGGATAAAGGGCGGCCAGCGGGCATGTAAGCCTGGCAACCTCACTGCCATCTGTGAGCCAGTTGCCTAGAAGATGTGGGAGCCTTGACGTCTCACAACCCTCTGGGCCTGCATGGCCTGTATAGAGATAGCTTTACCTTTACATGTTTTCTTTTTGATACCTCTGTTATTTAGCTTCCATGATTGTACCTTAAATTTCTTTTTCTCCCCCCCCCAATCTCCATTGTGAGATTGTGGAATCTTTGTGTGGTGAATATGAAATATGTCCTGGGATGTGATGCCATGTGTCTAGTATAATCATTCCAGTGTTTTGGAGAAACCTGCTGCATCCATCCTCAAGGTAGAAGAGTATTCTCGGGATGGAGGTAGCAGGCTGTTCCTGTGAAACATTGGTACCTTTCTACCAATCTGCATGGCATTGCACCCCCCTATGGATGGTTTCAGCACCCTTTATGTGAAGTGGAAAAGTGCATGACTCCAACAAGCACTACTTAGCTATTAGTATTATCTTTCTTCCCTTTAATTATTAATACATTCATTGTCATGTCCCCATATACAGAGATTTTACCTGATGATTTATGCATATTTCCATAAAAACTGCGTTATAAAGCTAACTATGTTTGAAACAAATGAAAGAAAAAGTTGAAAACTATCGACAATCACTGTGTGTTTCAACTCTTTCATGATTCAACAAGTTACACTTGAAGTTTCTCTCCATTTTAGTCACTTCTGTAGGAGAAGTTGACATTCACATAAACAACGGCAACAGCAAGTCACTTGACAGGATCAACATTGGCACACAGTAAACTTGAACTCCTCAGGTGATGGGTTTGGCAGTGAATGTGTTAAAAGAATTTTGATTTAAGGGGCTGTATCAACAGCAGTTGAAGATGAATTAATTTTCAAGATTACAGTCTTCTGGTATGTGATGACATGTAATTTGTGTTTGTAACTCAAGTATAAAATGAATTCATGTCTTTCGTGTTTTAGATATATACATTTTTCTTCTGTGGTAAGTTTTGCAGTCTTTGCAACCATGTCTTCAGTTCTCCTGTAAAGCCTGTCCTAGTCCATGAAAATACAATATATTCATCACTATAAGAAGCTGATTTCTGCTGAAGAAATACTTAGTCCATTTCAGAAATATGAAAGACCTACGTCCTTGCTCACTAATATGTACAAAACAGTGATTATATAAACATCTACATTTACATTTAATTTCACTTCATGGATCCAATCATCTCCCCGTAGGGCTGGATATAAAACATGTCACATATTAAAAATTCGTAATGACTACACATCATTCATCCTTTGTCCAATAAATATATAATCAGACCTCTCACAGATAGCTCAAGTTGTCAGGTCAACACACATGGGTCATGGGAAAACCACTGTCAAATTCACACCTTGCCATTCCACACACACTGGTAAGCCGTATCATTAAAACAGTTACATTATAAAATATTAAAAAACAGACATACACACTACTAAACTTACAATAAGCAAGTCTCAACAATGTATAATTCACGCACACAGACCATTTATTAACTTTTAACTTTTGATCCACTTACATGCTCAACCAATTCATCAATTGAGTAAAATGCATTACTTTGCAAATAATTTCGTAAAACAAACTTAAATTGCTTTTTATCATTTTTTAAAGCTGTGATATCTGATGGCAGAGCATTAAATAGCTTGACGCCTGAATAATACACCCCTCTCTGATAGGATGATAAATGTGTTGATGGTATACGAAGGTTGTCGTTCCTTCTGTGACCATCCTGTAAAATGGAGGGACGAGAAAGTTTTGTGTGTGTGAAAGAATGAAATGATGAGCTAGGTAAGTACCTGTAACAGTAGAAAGAACTGTGTACTTTTGTAAATATGAAATAATTTGAATATTTCTTCCTAGGTATTATAAACTGAACCTTCAGTAAACTGGCCCATTTAACCTTAAATGCAGAACTAGGCTTGCTCATGAAAAGTCTGCACATTTTATTTGTATTAACATTCATAAATATTGACATTTTCACAGCTGTGAAAATTGATATTGCAGTGTTCTGGGTTATAAAACATGTAGTTTGGTAGGCAGGTATGAATGTTAAGGAGGAACATACTGCCTCCATCTTCAGGTTTCTAGAACCTGAAATCTCATATTTAAATTGACTTACCTTTCACACTTATTTAAACCTTTAAAGAAGGGGAACTGGGTTGCCTCAGGGTATGATACTGGGCTTTCAGTCACACAATTCTGAGTTCAGTTCTAGGTAAGATCTGTGCATAGGTTCTCCTGTGCACAGAATGAAACCTTCATCACTACAAAATGTACTACTTTGGAAATGTGAAGCACCCCAGCCTCTCCTCCCTCCCCCTGTTCTTTGGAACCCATGTTAAGCTGTAAATGCCCCGTGATGGCCGTCATTCTTATGATCACTTTGCCACAGGGGGGGATAACAGAAACTATCTTCCGAGTTCCTCCCCATCTGAAATGGATTCTGTGCCCTTTTGTAGATGAGGGAGAGGCTACACAAGCTGAGTAGGCTGTACATGAAGACACTAGAAACCAACCAACCAACTTCGATAAAGTAGAAATATGGGTGTAGCGACAATATTTCTTTAATATTTTGGAATATCAGAAGTTTATTGTTACAGGCCAATATTTTGTGGCTTTTAGCCCCAAGTGCCATTGCACTGAATATGTTATGTGTGTTTTTTTTTGTTCCTGTCTCCATTACAGGCTGAGGCCTGTAAGTCTGTCGAATATGCAATGAAGAAATGCCCAAATGGAATGTATTCAGAAATTAAATATGATGGTGAGCGGGTCCAGGTTCATAAGAAGGGTAGTGAATTCAAATACTTCTCACGGAGTCTTAAGCCAGTTTTGCCACATAAGGTAAGTGTTAAATGTAAGTACACAGTACAAGCAACCCTGTGATTTGTGTAACTTTACTTCTATACTTAAACCCTACAAGTGCCAAGCATTGAAGATCTTTACTTCAATAAATATTCTTATATCTTACAGCATGCAATATGTTTCACCTTTTGTCTCAACTGTATAGCCAGCCTTTGGAGGGAAATTCTGTTTCCTAAATTTAAAATTTTGTATGTTATTTACCCATGAAAGAACAGTTTTGACAACTACTGCAATATAAAAATTAAAGCTGGCACTTTTGTGGTTAAAATATAATACATTTAAGGGAAGTGTATGCATTCTGTTGACTTGACATAATGTTAAACATTTCTATACCTGATGTAGCAGATGACTCAGATATTTGATTCAGGATGGAAACAGGAGAAATCTATTCAGGTAACTGACCCTCTGATATATTAACGGTTTCAGGTGAACATGTTTAGAGACTACATTCCTCAAGCATTCCCATATGGTACAGATCTCATTCTAGACAGTGAAGTGCTTTTGGTGGATGTGAAAACTGGAAAACCACTGCCTTTTGGGAGTCTGGGGGTACATAAGGTAATTCCTAACTGCTGTATGTGTGAATGGGAGCTTCCTATGGAAAATCCCTTTGTTAATCAGTTCTAAAGTGTTGTTGTGATGGTATGTTAAAAGAGTTGATGTTATTGAATTTGTGGAAAATTTGTATTTTCTATGTTGGTACCATACAGAGAATTTATCCCTCCATTTATAACTTATATTCTGAAAGTACTCTGTTACTGTGCCTCATATGTGTGGAGTTTCTTAATGTTTTAATATATTGTCTTAACTCTCACAGATGGTTTGTGCTGGGTTTTTTTTCTTCCCCCCCCCCATTATTTGTCCTGTCTTGTGTTGGTGCAGGTGTCTGGGGGAAAGGGACTAGCTCTATTGATTGAGCACAATTGAGTTGGTTTTACCTGAAGACGGAGGCAGAATCCAATCTTGTAAATGCTACGTTTTAAATAAAAACAGAAAGATGGATAATGTCCAGAAATATAATATTTGTATTTCTGGATTTTGTTCATTATCCTTGTAGTGTGAACTGAATGCAGAGTTTCAGACATTAGATGTGCTTCCTTTCCTCAAGTGAAAAAGGGGAAGTACCTACTCTGTTTGGTTTGGTAGATAGAGATAATTTCTGTTACTGAACAGGATGGCTTAAACGTAACACTCTAGACTTGTATTCAGGCAGTGCTTGGTTCAAATCTCATCCAGGACAATGCCTATCGTGACTAAGATATTTGTGGTTTCCCTCAGTCTCTTGAGGCAAATTCTGGGGAAGTACCTCGATTATCCCTTCAAAGCCCAGTGGTTATTTATGTACCACTTGCTTTAAGACACTAAAACTGCATTCTGCCCACAGAGTGTATTTGTGTTTCATATGATTCTCACAGCAAACTGATTGTTTTCCTAAACTGCATTAAATTGTTTGTCTTTGTATGTAGAGGAAAGGTCTTGTGTTTTCTGTGAGGTACAGACTGAATTTTTATATATAATTTAGAGGAAGTTTAGTCTTTAAAGGGTTAAGTCACCATTCATTTAGACACATGTTGAGCTTCAGCATACCAGTGGCAACACTAAGATTAATCCAGAAACCATGCCAATGTTTTCAGCTTGCACAGTACATGCAGGCAGGTCTTTGTAATTGCCTGGCCTTCTCGTCATTGGAGGAAACTACAATCCATTCCTAATGTTTTATTATTAATGAATGCTATTTCTGTTCCAGAAAAACTCCTTTGAGGATGCAAATGTATGCCTATTTGTCTTTGACTGCATCTACTATAATGGTGAAGTACTTCTTGAAAAGTAAGTTAAACAAGTTAGGAAATATATTCATGGAACACACAGTTCTGGTGTGTTCATTATGTTACTGTTTGCATTTTCATTTCATGTGGCTGGCATCCATAAATTGTTGGAAATGCTATTTCCTATGCATGGATATCCAATAATATTGACAGACTGATAGCCCTTCCTGAGAGTGAATGCAATTGTATCACCATTGTTAATGAACATTTCTTGATCACCAGGATTGTCTGGTTCATTGTCATCACTTACCTTTGAATTTTAGTTTACTTGCAACAGCTCACTTAATTGGCACAGAACATATTTTCATTTATAACTACAGTTTTTTTTTTTAACAGATTATCACTATTTCATGAGTGTGACCATAAATGGAGTTTGGATTGGTAATTGGATTTATTGCATGCTTACACGCAACTCATAACTACAAGTAACTTTAGCACTATTGCTCATTCACACTCTACAATTCACTACAGCACACACCTAAGTCTTCTCAGCCTGCTGTGTCTTCACAAGTCTTCTAGTAACGGCTTCCAGCAGCAACTGTTCCTCTCCCTCTGGGTTCCTGAACTGTTCCCCTGCCTCAGCTACCAGCTTCTCATAAGGACTGAACCGCAGCGGTTATCTCACTCTCTCAATAACTCACAAACCAACTCTTCACTGACTGATTCTCACTAATTGTTCCTCTGCACAAACTGTGAAGAAAACGCTGTGCCAGTGTTGTGCTTAGTGGGCTGCTGCCTAGCAATGACAGCTGTACAGTCATATATCTCATGGTTGCCATCTGGCATTGAGTCTACATTCCACAATATCTTGCTCCAGTAAATATTCAGTGAGTTACACACTAATTGCACTTGAGATATGAGCAGGAATGCATGTAGGTATTCATGCACAGTGTCTGTTGTTTTCTGATTTTAACCAAAATCGGAACATGTCGACAGGTTTTAATAAAATCCCCACAGTCAAGTTTCCTGAAAATCAATTGAATAATTAATAAGTTGTAGAGTACTCTCTTCCAGATGTGACGCTGTGCAGTCTGGCAGAAATTTACTGATGTTTCATAGATACATACTGTCCATACTTCAAGGTCAAATATATCTTCAGCGTTGAAGATGGAGGCAGTACTTGCTTAAAAAGTCAGTAACTTTCTTCTGGAGTTGACTGTGTCACATCTCAGAATATGGTACACTTCATAGTTGCTGCTGTGAAAACATCAAATCCAAATTAATTCTTGAGTTCTTACGTGAGGGCAGCTGGATGGACCGACAGACAAATATAATGAAGGTAATTAGCATATTTTTTAAACTTTTTTTTGCCAGCACACTAGAAAGTTCATAATATTTAATTTCATGTAACATGCATTCCTTTTGTTATAGTTTCCAGAACATATATTGAAACATTTTGTTTCACTTTCAAAATTGTTACTACCAAGAGATGCATTAGACTTAATGAGGAGAGTGTTACATATGTACAAATATATCTATATATACCTTATATATGTTCAATGAAAATGAGTCATCCCAAGTAATACATTAAATGGTGTGACTTTTCTGATACCATGCATTTTTAATGTTTGTATTCTTTGCAGGCCAGTGAAAGAAAGAAGAAGAATACTGGAGCAAAATATGAAAGAAGTTCCAAATCGCATAATGTTTTCTGAAATTAAAGAAATACATGTAAGTGCATAAAGTTTCATCAAAAGTAATAGTAGCTACTTAACTCTAGTGAAATTTGACCTGCAATTGGATGTATATGAAAAGGTAAATGATACAGAATATATTGAGGATACTTAAAGATATCTTTGTCAGGATTTAAATTAAATCTCTGCTAGCAGTATGAAGAGCAAAACATCTTTTCTTCTTTCCTTTTGTTATCCTCTTACATTTGTACTCCATCTTACAGTGAAGTTCTATCAATTAACACTTGAATAAAAAGAAAAATAACAAAATATCAGGCACTTTGAAGGACAAAGTGAAACTAAGTAATATTTGATTAATCATTTCGTACCTCATAGGAAACACATTATGTCTCCATTACAGAGCTCAACCAGTTAATGCTTTTTAAGGAAACAATTGCTGTTTATTGTGAGAACCATACAAAACACACAAATACGCTCTGAGGGCAGATTGCAGAGTTCTAGTGCATTAAAGTTGGTGGTACATATAGTAACTATGCTTGTTAAAGGGGTTGTACAGCATCATCACAGCTGAAATGGAATTCTAATAATGTTTAGTTGTTACAAATTTAAGGTAAACAGAACTTGATGTCACTGTGGATAAAATTCATGCAAGAAATCAGATAAGAAATGCATATGTAATCTTGATCACTAAACCTGAAGGGAGGAAAGGACACTACTTGCAGTGACTAGATGTAGACAGGATGATAATATTAAGATATATATAAGGGAAATAAGGTGTATGATTGTGGACTGGATTCATCTGGCTCAGGACACTGTCTAATAGTGAGCTCTTATGAACGTGGTAATGAATCTGAAGGTTTTTATAAAAATGGGAAATTTCTGGAGGTGCTGAGCAACTATCAGTTTCTCAAAAAGGGTTATTCTGCTCTGGGTTTAAAATTTGATGAGAGAATCGGTTCATTTCAGATGGCCTCCAGGAGTGCAGTAATTCTTACAGAGTGCTTTAACCCTTCATAGTACAATGCACCATCTGCTTTAACAGAATTACTGCATTTAACCCACAGAGTATATTTATATTTATATATTATGTATGCTTCTCACAGTAAACAGTAATTATTTTCTGAAGCAGCATTTATTGAGCAGTCTTGTTATTAAGACAGAGTTGTTTTCTGTTAGGTAGAAACTGCTTATTTTAATATTTAGACGTACTTCAAGTTTAAATTCTGTTTTCTGTTTCTGTTTTATAATTGTAGTACCAGATCTATCTGTGATCTGCATTATCCGCAAACTAGTCTGACACAATTCCAAAAAGGAATATGTTACATGGGAGTAAAGATCTTTAATCATTTGCCACCAAAAATCAAATCTATGTCTAATGACTTGAAAAATTTTAAAATTCAGTTGACAACATTTTTATTGCAAAACTCTTTTTATACATGTGATGAATTCTTTAGTAACAAATTTGCCTAGAAATAAGGATAATAGCATAAACAATTTTAATATTGCATAATTTTATGTATAGTGATGTAAGACTGTTTTTTTTGATATAAATTTAACACATTATTTTTATCTATTTTAATAATTATGAACTGTACATATATATTTATATTTGTGTTGTACTATATTAATTATGTGACTGGTTCTATATCTATGTATATGGATTTATGGAATATACAATAAATGAATGAATGAATGAATGAATGAATGAATGAAAAGCAAATACTGAGCTGGTTCTTAAGTTCTGAGTTGTTACCATGTGCTTCTCGTATGGCCCTCCACTTATAAATTATTCATATTTTGCTATAAAGACCACCTGATTACCCTTACAAATTATGCAATTCATAATTAATCAGAAAATAAAATTTTGCAGCCCTTGATTTAAGCCACAAATTGTTACCTTCCTCCCCTTGAAATAAAGTCTCTCTCAGTTCTCCTATGCCCTTCCTCCATTTATTCTCGTGTTCCTTTCTCCATTGTTCTTCAGATGTTTAAGGATCATCTCTAAAGGGAAGTCACACATTGAGTGTTCATGCATTGCAGCCCATTACTACTTCATTAAAAATATTTAAATTCTTTGCACTGTTCTTTTTTAGGACCCAAAGGACTTGGAAAATATGATCACAAAAGTTTTGAAACTTGGACTAGAAGGGCTGGTGCTTAAGGATTTAATGGTGAGTGCAGAACATTGATTTACTTGTTGTCTGTTATGCCTCCTGAGAATATCGACTCTACCCAGTGGTTCTTGTGTAAGCCAGCAAGTCTATGTGCAGGGTGACTGCATGCAAGAATTTCTCTGAAATATCTTCAAATTTATTGCGAATTAAAACTTTTTTCCATGATAGGCATACTATTCTCTCGCGTGATTGAAGGCTCTCACAGCGCTGACTAAGAAGATATACCTTCTGGGATATGATGACATGTAGTCTAGTAAATAGTTACCAATATTTTGGACGTGGGTGCAGTCTCACTCCCTCAAGACAACTACCAATAGCATGTCAAATTAGGTCACAGCCTGCTCCCTCCACATCTTCGTTATTCACTATTTATAACTATCTGACACTATATGCGCAGAGTTACTGACAGTATTACTCACATGAAGTAAACTGCACCATCATATGTAGTCAGTTGCATTACAAAAACACAGTGTAAAAGCATAATTTTCCTGTTTTGTTTGTAAAGGGTTCATTAACTTTATTTGCTTTGTGAAGAACAGAAAATACCATTCACGTAGCCTCAAGTTTTATGTCTCTCATTGCAGAGTACATACGAACCAGGTAAGAGACATTGGTTGAAAGTGAAGAAGGATTATTTATATGGAGGAGCAATGGCCGACAGTGCAGATCTTGTAGTGCTTGGGGCTTGGTTTGGAACTGGACAGAAGGGTAAGTTTCTTAAAATATGTGCCTCAAGGTTACAGCGGTGTTTACACCTTCAGATCCAGGGCTGTGAAGTTCTTACAGTCTGTATAGCCCAGCTGTTCTGCAAAGACTAGAATATTTTCTTTGATACAGAATTTCAGAATTGAAGCACTGGTAGTTGAACACCATCTGTTTCTTGGAAAGAAATTGTCTTCATGTCTGTGATGTTTGTGAGTAAAACAAAGCACAGCTAAAGGTCATGGTGCAGGTTTCATGTATTGATATTGAAAAAGTAAAGGCAAAGTTGGGTCACGCCATAGCTTAAGCAGTAGCTTTCCACCACGGTAGCCTGGGTTGGATCCAGGGTATGGTCAAGTGGGATGTGGTGGACAAAGTGGCGCTGGGGCAGGTTTTCTCCGAGTACTTCGGTTTACCCTGCCGAACTTCATTCCACCAATTGCTCCACAATCACCCTCACCTATCATCTGGGGCTAGTACAATAGGCCAGAAGTGGCCGCAGTACAAGGGACTTAGTCCCACCCCACTAGCAATAAAAAATGTAAAGTTGTTCCTGTGCTTTAATTAAGCACAATATAATGAAGATGGGAGTGGAGGTATAGTTCCATGCATTCTTAAGGTCAGTACCTGAGAAACTGATTTAGAGGTAACACTCTAGACTTGTGTTTTTCAAGTTCTTCATTCAAATCTCAGCTGGTGTACTGGCTGTCTTGACTGAGGTTTGTCGTGGCTTTTGTCAGCACGTCCATGCAAGAGTTAGGATAATTCATTAAATTAGGCTACAGCACCATTCCACATGCTTTATAATTCATTATTCATTGATCAGTCTACCATTCACATCAGTTTATCATAGATGAGATTGTTAGGTATAGATTTCTCATTGCAGAGGTCTCATTGCTTCATGTGGTATTCATGACGAAGTGTCACTGAAGCAGGTTTGTCTATGAGTTTCAGCATTCCACAGTTGCTCAGCAATGCCCTGACTTAAGCGATAGCCTTTACCAGACAGCACTTGGCAGGTTGCAGAATAAGGAAGATGAAATAAAAATGTACCAAGGGCTTTAAGAGTCGGCATAACTTAGTTGGTATAGTGATCAGCTATGAGGTGGATGGCCAGGGTTTGATTCCTGGCAAGGGTAAGATTTCTCTCTTCTCCACAGCATCCAGACTGGCTCTGGGGGCCTCATATCTAAAGTGTACTGGGGGCTCCTTCTCTCAAGGTGAAGCAGCCGGGTTCACCACTCACCTCCAATAAATGCTGAGGTCAGGAATGGTGGAGCTATACCTCTACTACTGCATATGTCTTCATAGCATAGTGCTTAATTAATTAGACACAGGAACAACTTTGGTTTTTTGTTTTCTTGTTTGTTTTTTTCTTAAACCTTTACCTTCTGCTTTGAATTACAGGTGGCATGATGTCTGTGTTTTTGATGGGCTGCTACAATCCTACTAACCAGAAGTGGTGCACAGTTACGAAGGTTCATACTGGCCATGATGACAAAACACTGGAGAGATTACAAGTATGATGATCTGTGATCATTTGATGATTACTGACTCCCGAGATGTGATGCTTCGAAGCCTGATAGAAAAAGTACCAAACATTTTGAAACAAATGTTATTATCCATTAATCCAGCTGTTCCAGGAATGTTTTACATGAATGGTTATTGGCCCCAATGTTCATATTTCTGTAATATTAATACGTTCAGACATGAATGGAAATTCATTCTGGCCATCTTCCTCAATGAACATATTCTGGAAACTGTATTTTTTTAACACATTTTGAAGTTTGAATTGGTACCTATCTACCGTACATGGTATCATAATCCAGAAGACCGAAGAGTGAATCTTGACTACCTTGAAGCATCAAATCTTATGCCTTTAAATTTGTGTATTTCTGTGATGTTATTTTTATGTGTTTCCAAAACTGTCCAACCGTACTATATTGTAAGCTCCATCTTGCTGACTTCGACATAATTCTCAAGAATAAATTTTACATCATCAGTGCATAAGATATTTCTCACCACGGCCATATAACAGAGGAAAATAAATTGGAATTCCTTGAGCATGTTTCTGAATGTCATAAAACTGGTAACCTTTGATCAATGAATAATAATTGTATTCACAGAAAGAACTTGTCATGATTAAAATCAGCAAAGAAGCTTCTAAAGTGCCTGACTGGCTCTGTTGTACGAAGACGATGATTCCCGATTTTGTAGCCCAAGATCCAAAGGTAAGAGACACCTATTGAATAGATTTACAAGAAGAATATGCTTCTTAACCCATTGCAGTCATAAAGTTGCACATATTCTCCCTGTGAAAATCTGACGGATCTCATCTCTGGCTAGTTTCCACAGATAACCCTTCCACTGATCCACCCTTACACATTATAGCCCTCCAGGGACACTTTGGAAGCAGTTTCACTGAATCTGAACTTGAAAAATTCTGGAAAGGCAGTGTGATAAAATGAACAGTGCTGTTAACTACAGATAATATTCATCAGCAGAGATCACGACTGCAATAACCAACTGGCTCGTGGGTAACCTTCCACTGCCATTTATTTCTGCCAAGTTCAGTCAGTAAATTAATGGATTGTGGACTGGACAACCATGATTTCTTTCCCATTAGCAGTGTACTTATGTTGCTTTTCACTGCTATGCCCAAAAGGCTATAGAACATAAAAGTAGCTGTCATGCTTTTTTCTTTTCATACTTCATGAGCAACTATATTAACCCTTTGACTTCCATCCCTGTCATAGAACTACCTGCTAGAAACACCAAAGCTGCTTGGGGTTAAATAGAATAAAACCCATAATATTTCCTCAAACGACCGTCAAACGATAGGTGTAGATCAAGTGAAAGCCTGTTCTTTCCTCTAAATATTTGTACGTAACACATGATGCCGTTTACAGACAGTGAGCTGATTTTTTTGGCTATGGAAGTTGTAATGCATGATACCTTGATCTGATTTAGTTTGTATATTGTATGCAAAAGACTAAAGTACTTGTACAAAAGAGTTTTACATTCCAGGCAATGCCAGTGTGGGAAATCACAGGTGCTGAATTTACACAACATGAAGTTCACACAGCTTCTGGGATCTCTATCCGATTTCCACGAGTAACCAGAATTCGTGATGATAAAACATGGAAAACTGCTACTTCACTTCCTGAGCTGAAGGTGCTACATCAGACTTACCAAATATACTTTCTACCAGGGGGCATAGTCCTGGAAATAAACATTTGGAGGAGTCTGACACATTGTTCAAAGTTGAAAGATGTGGGCATGAATCATACTATGAAATCATCCATGCTGTTACTTAGCAATAGCTTTACCCTCTTACATACAGTTTTTAAAGGGTTCGGACATTGGTGCATAACACTCAGGATTACTGGGTTTCTGGACTTAGTCCTTCAGCTGGTATTCCAAAAAAAAAAAAAAAAGAATACATTTCAGATACTGCATCTGTTTCTGTCCTCAGGTGAGGGGTGGGAGACACTCATTTCATTCCATTGTGTTTGAGGTTAATTCTTTCTAATGGTCCCAACAGAGTAGGTGCCCCCCACCCCTCACCTGAGGACAGAAACAGATACAGTTTCTGAAATGTTGTGTGTTTTCATGTTTTTTGGAATACCAGATGATGGACAAAGTCCAAAACCCCAGTAATCCTGAGGTCACAAATGCACATAGGGCTACATAAAGAGGCTCATGGTTTGACCTGATACAGAGCAGTTGGATGTGTTTGACATCACTGTATTTAAGGTAAGTGCCCTGGCACCAGAAAGAGCACTGGGTCAACCTGGCTGGACTACAGCCCTAGTTACTACTTGTCTTTCCTGAGGATGTGGTTGTTAATAATCCTGCATTCAATTCCATAAATATTTTAATGGGGTTTATGAGATTTGAGGCTGTGTGTATGTCTGTTTAGGTTTGGTGCAGTGAAATTCAACTGCTTAGAATTAGTGTAATCTTATTTTTCTTGTAGCATTTTTCATTTTATGCTAGTCACTGATGGATGAAAGGTCTCCAGTATTTCTTTCTTTCCACAGTTCCTCCTTTTCAGTTTCTTTCCTTTCTCGATGTCTTTCTGTACCTTGAATATATAAGGGGTGGGCCTTCTTGGCCCTTGTACTGCGACCACAGTGATCTGTTGTGCCTTTTCTCTACCTTACTGCACCAACCTTTCCTGGGTTGTCCCATGGGTCTCTTTCCTTTAAATTTTAATTATTCTAATGCTTTTCTCAATATCCTTGTGCTGTCTATTTTTACATGGCTGAACTATAGTAATTGTTTCTGTTATAACTGTTATGGCGTGAAGGGGGGCGTGGAGGTACCTCCACCGCTTCCGCCACTGTACCTCTCTTAAGCCGCCGCTACACCTCTCTTATGCCATGGTGACAGAGGGCGTGAAAATATCCCGCTCTGTCACCCTGTTTAGTATGCTGCCACCATCTTGTTATTTTCAAGAAATCAAGTAAATATATATGGACAAATACTGTCTTAAGTGCAACAATTTTATTGTAGTTTTTACTACAAAAAGAAGTAAAAACTACAATAAAATTGTTGCACTTAAGACGGTATTTGTCCATATATATTGTGTGAGTGTAACAGGATGCTGAAATATAATATTGAAATGAAGTAAACTTATCATAGCTTGCGTCACTGTCCTGGCTTAACTCGTAATTCGCCGGAGCGTTGGGAGGTCCTGGAGTCGTCAGGGAAGAGGGTAACACTTAAGGAATTGCTAGGTTAAAGTAAACTCACACGCATGTCTATCCTATTCTATTTCTCTACGTCACTATATACATCTATATGCACTCTTACCGACGTTCGTCGGTTGTACTACACTGGATAATGAACCTGCAGTCATCATTGGTTCTACCTCCTGTCACCCTACTGGCGGGTATTCTACGCCGCGGTATCTTGAATGAACCTAGTCAATCTAGTTAGACTATCTTTCCCTGTGATTTTACACTTTACAATTATCACTGTTACACTTAATATTCATGGCTATATGAAGTTGGTTTCACTTACTTGAGATGAGGAAATAGATGCTCGCCATCAGCCACCAGCGCACACTCATGGCCATCGCTCTCTCGGCGATAGCCTCCCCTGAACTCTAAGTTACTTAATATCAATCAAAAGTCTAAAGGCAAAAGGTTTTTTGATTAAGTCTTCTAGGGTTTATATAATCTCTCTTTGCTGATTCTTTGAGTTCCGGGTAGGTTGCCTGCCCATTCTGACGTGATTTTGGCCTCCCTCATTGGTTGCCCGTCGAGAAGGGGTTGACTCTTTCGGGTCTACCGCCTCCTCAGACTCAGCGTTTTCCTCCTGCCATAGTGTTTATGACCCATTTCATATAGCTCCTTCCTCAATGTCAGCGCTATTACACTGCCGGGTTAGCATTCTAATGACTCAGGCATTCCCTGTTACAATTCTTTGTAGACCTATGCTTCCTGGTTCGTTTCATCATGGCTATTTCTTAATCTTACAGTCTAGCTACTATTATTCCAATTTTACCCCAAAACTATATCTACATGTACGTGACCTTTGCGCCATTACAATAACTCTTTTAAAAATTTTTGAATTGAAGTTTCCTCTTTCAGAATTTAATTTCTGTCCCGTCTTATTTTTTGGTCAATACTTCTCAAAAATTTCATATCCATTGCTTGCGATTTGTTCTGTTCCTCTTTTTAAGGTTTCATGTGAAGGCATTATGTATTGGTATGTGAATTGTATTTGCCCTTCCCCCCAAAGGGGTTGGCATGTGGGTAATGCTTTTGAATTGTATCCGAGAGGTGCTGAGTTTCAATCTCTTCCTGAATGCCAGCCATCACAACAGGGTTTTCATGGTTTTCCTCACTCCCTCCAAAAAATACCAGGGTTGTACCTTGTTTGTATCGCTACTGATCCCTTCCACTTGTTTTCTGTTTCATATGTCGTCCTGTCGTTTGATGCTGGTCTCTGACCGTCATAAAATAACCCACAAAAGAAACTATTCTTTCCAACTCCTAGAATTGCTGTATTACATAGATTTGCTGTTTTGCAACTGAGGTACCAGCTTCATTTGTTTTCCTCTCTCCAGGATTTATTTAAGAAATCTAAGGAAAATTGTGATGTTTCCTTACCATCTACTTCTGGTGTTAAAGATGTACATAAGGCTTCAGACACTGAATCTGACAATTCATCTACATCAAGCCCTAAGAAAAAATTTGCTTCTTCAGAGACTTCAAAGGGTTTATCCAAAGTAAGTATACCATACCAGCCATTCTATGGAAACAGCATTGCAGCTGACTGGCCAGTACTGCCATGCATAGACTAATGATATATTCAGTATTGTTCAAATTATCTATGCTACTTGAAAGGGAGAGGAAGTTTGAACAATCAGAAAACACGGATAATCTGAGATATTTTATGGAAATTTGGAAATGTATGCATAACTTTCATAATTGAGGAGCTATTTCAAGGAAATAGCAGCTCCGGTCTAGAAAACCGAAATTAACGGCCATGGGGATTTGTTGTGCTGACCACACTACAACCCTTTATCCGCTAAAGTTGGCATTAACTTCTCCAACAAGTCGGTATAGTTCGCTTGCGGACTAAAGCTACGGAGTTTGTTGTTTTGCATAACTTCCAATTTGTCTCAAGAACTGTAATGCAGAAAAATAATCTCAAACATTATTTATTTTTTATTTTTTCTGTACTGTTTTTGTGCAAAACATTCTTGTTGTGATAAATATTTACTGAGTTATCCCTAAGGGCCCCCATACACACACAGTTTGGCCTCCCGTTCGGCCTGCACAGTTGACGACTGAAAGGCAAAACTGACGTGTGGTGCGGCTGGCCAGCCAATCGTTTGGACTGTTGGCCTGTAGGAAACCCGTCAGTTCTGCCTGCAGGACATAACATGTGACAGGCGGAACGTACGTGTGTGACGATACCGGCAAGCCAATGCTCAGTTGCTGTTGCTGTCTCACATTGCTGTTTCACATTGTGGTCATTTCTCGTGGTATTTTGAAACTTTGTGCTATGGCGACATGGTCGAAGGACTTTTTAGTCGAGTTTATTGAAGAATTTCATGGTCATCCTTGCATTTGGAAGGTCAAGAGCAAGGAATACCAAAACCGTGAAATGAAAGAGAGTGCTTATTTAGCACTGACGGAAAAAACGAAAACAATTGATCCCCAAGCTAGCAAGGAAACTGTGTTGAAAAAGATCAACAATCTACGTAGTAGTTTCAGGAAGGAATGACTAAGAAATCTGGAATGAGTAGCGAAGACCTCTGTGTCCCGAAATTGTGGTACTACAAAGATTTGTTGTTCCTGGTAGACCAAAGAGGCCTTGGACGGGTTTTCATGTCTTGTTAGTGATACGGAGGTAAGTGGTGTAATTAAAAATCAAACTTTTATTGCATGTTAACAATTATAGATTACAATGCTAAACACTAAATAATTCTGTGCATGTGTGCGGAATCAGAGCCTTCTGCCTGGATGTACTGTTTTTAAAAACAGAACTTATCTTGCCATGGAACTTTTCCCTCATTGTTGAAATACTCCAAAAACAACTCTCTTACAAGTTTTGCATCCTGGGTAGGAAAATCCGCTGTTGTCTTTCCAGATCCATAAATTGACTGCAGCAATAACCAGGCGTAACATTCCCAGTTTCAAAATCCTCATCATCCAAACGCTCCAATGGTGTGTACTGATTTGGAATCTTGATGCACAAAAAATTATGCAGAGCACAACATGCCATAACAATATGGCGGACGCTAGTCAAATCTATGATAGAGATGGGTTTCTGTAATACCGCAAATCTCTCCACAATGATACCAAAAACACTTTCAATCATTCGCCGAGCTCTAGACAAACGGTAGTTGAATATCTTACGGGCTGGTGTGTTTACTTTACGGCTGAAAGGCTTCATGATGTCTTTCCTCAGTGGAAAGTCATCATCTGCTACAAGAACAAAAGGCATATTTCTCCCAGCAACAATTGTTTCCTATGGCACATTCAAACTCCCACTTTTGAGTGTCCTGTAGAAGTCTGTGCTTTGAAAAACTCCACCATCGGACACGCCCATTTGGTCCAAAACTGAAGTATAGTAACTCCTAATTGGTGTTTGCAGCCCCAAATAAAACCTGGCTGTGGACATTTTTATAGTTAGAGAAGAATGATCCAGCCCCTGGAGGAGGCGTGATAGCGACATGTTTTCCATCCATGGCTCCTATGCAGTTGGGAAACTGCCACCGATCTTCAAACTCCTTAGCAACTTTCTTCCACTCCTCTTGCGATGTAGGGCACTGTAAACAGATGACAGAAGGCACTGAGAGGAAGAGAGACACATATACACACAGAGAGGGAGATTAACATGCTTGGAGTGTAACTATATTTTTGTGTTTTGTTGTTTACAGGACTTAGAAGAAACAGAACAAGAAATTACACAAAAGTCAGTCTCTCCAGGCATTTCAGCGCACTCCTCTGTTTCAAATCAAAATGCAGAACTAAGCATCAGCACTGGTTCAGACATCTCTTCCCACAGCTGTTCATTCAAACGTAAAAAGAATCTGCCTGCTATTGATCAGATACTTGTGGCAGTGGGTGATCGACTGGCTCAAGTGAAAAATGAGGACAGATTTGACTTCTTTGCAAAAAATGTCGCTGCCAAATTACGAGCATTAGGGAATAATGAACAAAGGATTTATGCAGAGAAATTAATAAATGACGCCCTTTTTGAAGCAGAGCTTGGATTGCTTTCTAGATACTCTTCAATCAATACCGGTACTGAAGCATACTGTATTCTTGGCCCTTAGTCAAATATCTCTTCGGGTTCCAGCCGTGATGATTGCATGGGTCACTACTAGAGAGGCGGGTCAATATGACTTTAATTCATTAACTCCTGCCTGGGCTATAGTAACTGTTGGGCATGAGAGATTTCTGTAATGTGCATACCATGACAGTTTATTTAGCCTCCTGTATTTATACTGTTACCCTCACTTTTCATATCCTATGTAGTAAAGAAAAAATGTTCAAACAAACTTGTTTCACTTACTTACCTTGCAATACTTCCTCACTACTTTGTAGATTGCTTTGCAGGTCTCAGGAATCACTTCCCAATGCTTGAGGAGAGATACGAGTAGAAAATTTCAGGTCTTCAAGGGTTCTTCCACTAGCTAGATAGCGAAGCGTTGCTGTCAATCTTTCATTGGGTGTGATTGCTTTTCTCATGTTCATATCTTCTTTTTTTATGCATGGTGAAACAATACTTAACAGTTCCAGGTAAGTACTTTCATCCATACGTAGGTAGTTGCTCGAGTCTTTTGGAAAACATTTAAGTGAGTGAAAGGATTTCTTCTTTCTAACTACTGTTTGGTCTATAACTTGCGCGTGTATTTCTTTTTTTCTTTTTGCAGTGCACATGCGATAGCTGCGTATGCAAACAGTTCATCAACTGTAGACATGTTTTAACGGATAAACAAGACTGCACTGCACTCGGCAACATAGGCTGGAAGACTGTGACTGTGGCATGCGGCCTATCGGTTTATCTGCGCGTGTATGGGGAAGGAAAGGGAGAGGCCAAACTATCACAGTTTTGCCTGTAAGGTCGATCGGAAGGCCAAACTGTGTGTGTATGGGGGGGCCTAAGATGTATACAGAAATACATTTAGGTCTTCAATGAAAGTGGTTGTTAACATTATCTGATTTAAATTAAAATTTCTTGACAGTTTTCCATAATATTCTCCTGTATCATGAAAATGCTTGCAGCATATTGTTGAATTGTTTCATGTGAACAGGCAGATGAATGGACTGAGCAGGCTTAACAGGTGCTTTGCAGTGTTGTGGACATTCATTCATTCATTTTATTTGGCATTCATAATTGCATGCCACAAACCAGATAATCCACCCACACATGATGGAAAATATACTGTTAATGGATCTGAGTTGTTCTACAGACATGATTGATACTAGTTGTATTTGAGTTTCTTACAGTTGTGACTGTGAAGGGTGCTGTCTTCTGGGATGTTATACTGTGCAGCTCAGTAGCTGCTTGGATTAGTCTTTGATCCTGAGGATGGAGGCAATGCATTCTGTCAAAATGTCCTTGAACTTCTACTTGACTTCATTTCATCACATGCAGAAGACTTCGTTGATGATACTGATTTGTATATTTTTGTTTATACTCTTCTCTCTCTCTCTTTTTAATTTGCAGTCAGTCAGAGATCCAGCAGTAAGTGGTAAACGCAAACCGGAAGTGACCAGTAAAGAGAGTGATAAATCAACTTCCAGTAGTAACAATGAAGGAACTGAGAATGATGCTGAAGAATCACCTGCAAAGAGAAGAAAGAAGGAACATGTACATGACATCATCAAGAAGGTACTTCATGTGTCAGTTGCGGCAGAACTTGCATCACAAGTGATGGCACACGGTCCACATGAGAAAAGGCATAAAGTGGGGCTACCTCTCACTATTATCAAATGATTAGCTTTCCACAAAGCCAAACAATAGACTGACCTGCTCTCTGTGCATCGTTTCACCAAGTGGACATCCATGTTCTTGACTCTCTCCAAAAGAATATTGTCTTTGAGAACATGCCATCACCTGTGGCCCGAGGACTGTTACATTTTGTACCTTTGCATTTGGTGTCCTGAGTTTTATACAAGTTATATTTCTAGAGAAGTCTGCACATGCATGGAACAAAGCAAATGCAGGAAGAGTGGTTAGGACTGGAACATCNACACCCCCCCCCCCCACACACACACACACACACACACACTTGGTCCTAGCAATAATAATGTCACGTGTTGTGTGTGTCACACGACAAATAAATTCACGTGGTTCTCAGATTCAGTGAATCTTTATTGGACACTCAATCTCACACACCTTACAATTGTTATCACCTTAATTATATCCTGCGGCGGCTATATTCCGTCTGTCTTGTATGGCGACTAGGTTGCAACTGTGCTCTCTGAAGGCTAGATCTCAACTGTAGTCTAGTAGCTCTGTCTCTCTCGACTTATGTAGGTGTTCTGCGGACCGGATGTGAGACACCATTCGCCAAGTTTCGATCTCACTTGTTCGGCAATCCATTGCTTCAGGAACGATCTCTATAGATTACGGCGGTAACGTGTTTCGTCTCATCCATTGGCACTCAACAGCCTTCTGTTGTTCATCTCTGGGGAAACACGTTTGTTGTTTCGGCATTGTCTACACAGCGGCCCACTGTTATTGCATTGCCATGGAAGTATCTACTCCAAACACGTTACAATATTTTCTGGATATAATGCAGTTCATGATGTTGCTGACAAAGACTGCAATTCCATTCAATAGCCGTGATTCCATCTCCTACAGATTTTGAAAGGGAGAACCTTAGTGCCTTCCGCAGTACAGTAGTTGGTTGAGACACTGTGCTACAAGCAGGAAGGTCGCGGGTTCTATTCCAAATCAGGTCACTGGATATTTCAATTTACCTAATCCTTCCAGCCGCATTATGGCCCTGGGGTCGAATCAGCTTCTAACAGTAATTCGTGCCAGGAATCTTCCTGGGGCATAAATGGCAGCCAGGCTGACAACCTCACCATCATCTGTGAGCCAGTTGTGTAAAAAATATGGGAGTATCAAAGTCTCACAACCCTATGGGCCTCCATATCCTGTTACAGGAATAGCTTTACCTTACTGCCTCCAACATCTGTTCAGCTAAGAGGTAACAGGGATGTAGAATTAGTCAATTCAACGTGTGAACACATAAGATATTGTCCTGGACATAGGGGTTGGTCTTTAGCCTACATGGTAGTTCTAATTGAGGATATTTGTTCAGGCATTAATGCTCTTAACCTCTTGTTCGGAAGGTGGCGATTTTGAATTTTGCCCAGGACACCAGTTATCCTAACTGATGATTTTCATGGATTTGCTCAGTTCTTCCAGATAAAAGCCAGGATTGTACCTTGAATTAGGTCATGACCACATCCTTCAACAGCTTTCCATTTCATAATTTATTATAATTCAATCACAGCACAGTATATGATCTGAGTTGCTGACAGTATCATTAAACGTACTACAGGTAAGTAAATAAATAATTTCTTATGGTGGTAATCTTTTCTTTTTACCATTCAATTCCAGGACTTAAATACCCAAATGACAGACAAGGTAAGGCAAAGGTTATTATGTCCTCATGCATAATTATTTTAGCATCTCACCATGAATGGAGTTACAATCCCACACAGTCTTAATTTGGACGCCAGATGGAGATGAGTGGTCAGCTTCATGCCCAGCTGCTTTTTCCTTAGAGAAAGAGCCCCCAGTACCTATTGAATAGGAGGTTCAGTGGGCCCTGTAGCGGGTCAGGATGTTGTGGACAAAATTCTCTTGTTTTTGCCACTTATCAGACTCCAGTTCTTCAGTTGTCCAGTCCATAGCCCATCACTATAGTGCAAGTGGCTAACATCACCTGTACCAAAATACACGGTGTCACATCACATAGAACTATTTTCATAATATTCACCATAGTGACTAAGTGGTGGGCTGGACAACTGAGGAACCAAGATTTGATTGACGTAGCGGTAACAATCTCAACTTGTATTCGTGAGGTGTTCAGTTCGAATCTCGACAGGAATACTGGAAGTCCTGATATGTTTTCTCTTGGTCCTTCCATGCAAATTCCAGAATAGCGCCCTCGGTCAGGTCACAACCGCTTCCTTTCAAATCTTTTCCAATTCATTATTCATGTGTCATCCCATGTAGTCTCTCTACTTACAGCCCTGTTAAATATCCTACTACCAGCAGGAGCAGAAGTTCTTTTCTCTTCTCAAGGTCCAGATCGACTCCAGGGCCCACTCATCTGGCTTTCAAGCAGGTTACCTGCAACTGTCCCCGCAGGGAATACGGCCCAGAGCGCAAAGCTGACTACTCACCTCCTCCCAGCACCGAAGGTAGTGTGTGGAGTTATTTTTCTTAATTTCATGGGGTGGGGTGACACTAAGTCCACTTAGTACGTCGGCCACTAACTGGCCTATTGTACCAGCCCTGGATAATAGATTAATATGAAGCAGTCGGTGGAATGAGGATTGGCAGGTGAACTGACATACTCAGAGGAAACCTGGCCCAGTGCCACTTTGTCTGCCATAAATCCCAGATGACCTGAGCTATGGCACAGCCTGCGTGGAGTTATTCCTCCACTCCATTGTTCATCTGCTTGACGTGGCGCTTAATTACTCAATGGGACAGCTGTACCCATCTTGCCTTTAGGTTGCATAGTACGAACCATGCTTCAAAACAATTTTATAATTTAAATGAAATGTTACACCACTCGGTCGGAATATATAGGACATGGATTTATAATTGAATCTGTCAGAGGCACTTCCCATTACTCTTCGAGGCAAGAAGCCAGTCAAAACGCAATAGCATATGCCCCATGTCTGTTTTGACAGGTGCAATTAAACACCCCAAAGTCGAAGGAATTCCCCCTTAACACAGATATCTGGGTATCGACCTGCTCTCGTCTTGCGCACTTCATGGAGTGAGGTTGCAACTTTTACACCGTCACTTTACCGAACCTGGCAAAACATCCCCAGAATGAGAAGGCGAGATGCGAGACGGAGAAGTAAAATGTGGTAGAACAAGAAATTCTGGGAGGAACTGATAGCCCACTTTCCTCTCATACGACACGGACCGAATAGAAAACAATGTCCCAAAAAAATCTTCGTTGCCGAGAGAACGTCTTTACCGAGTTGTTACCGAGCAACGGAAGAGGAATACACAGGCAGACCCACAGACTCTCTTTTCATAAAGAATGGCAATTCCAACAATTCAATTGTTGCGCTATTCGTTGCCGCGGGAACGTGTTTACCAAGCCTAGCAACGATGGGAGGGATACACTTACAGACACAGACTGATGGGAGGAATTTATGAAGTGCGTTGCTGAGATGGGCTCCGGTTTCATGATATGCATACCAAGTTTCATAAAGTTTGATTGAGGCATTCAAAAGTTTATGGTGGGGATACACGCTCACAGACAGCATGGAGATCGCATAAGCCTACTTTAAGAAAGTAAGCTAATGATTGGTGAAAGGGACGCCACGAAAAAATGGAAGACGCCGTATTTTTGTTGGGGGGACGAGGAAGCATTGTGGCGTGTGCCTTCTTCTTGCGGGACGGGGCGTCAAATGTTAAATATTTCCCGACGTTTCGGCAAACATTGAAGTTGTCTTCAGAGTTAATGACTTTGGGAGGAGTTTAGGCAGCTCTTATGCCCCTCTCGCATTAAGCAGTATGACGGACGTGGAGCCTTGACCGGATGAACAGATGAGCCGGATGCTGACCAATGGGGAGCGACAAACTGCAGTGCGAGAACGGTATAGAAGCTGTCAAAAATCATGAATCCTGAAGATGGTAACTGCAGGGTTTGCCGAAACGTTGGAAAACTAAAAAATTGACGTAGTCTACACGTTAAACTGCAGGCGCTGGAACTTGTGGACTGGAATAGCAATCTGTTAGAAGGTTCCCAGGCTCCGCCCGCTTGTCCTTGGTGCACTTAGCCCGCATCACTTCTCGCATTCTTGTTGGTTGCGACGTGTATGGAAGTGAAGGCGACGGAATGGTTAGACAGGGGCCAGGGGTTTTCATTTTCTGAATTAGTGGTGAATTAGATAATTTGTACATCTAGATAACATTTACAAATTCGGCTTCTACCTCACAGAAAACACTGCGTCTGATTTACGAAGATCAGTTAAATGATGCTATTAACCAGCAAACGAACTCCATGCAGCAATGCTTTATTTGTTTGTGGTTTTCTTAGCGACACTGTAAGTCACGACTGACGGTAGCTTGATTAACGAACAGTTAACCCTCAGAGATGTAGGAGGAAGCTGCTGTTGCCTAATATGAGGCGTCTTCCAACACCATTTGCCCGGAGAGCCCGAGGATAACTACGGAATCATCAACCAAGGTAGCCGATGTCTCAAGCGAGATTCGAAACATAAACAAAAAAAAAAATCCTGGTTTTAGTCCGCAAGTGAATTATACCAATAGAGCGACCGCTTGTCGGCGAAGTTAGTGTCAACTTTAGAGGCTATAAGATGTCGCGTGGTCAACGCAACGAATCCCCACGGCCGTTAATTTCGGTTTTCTAGACCGGAGCCGCCATTTCCTTGAAATAGCTCCTCAGTTATCCTCACAAGTCTGAGTGGACCCCGTTCCAGACCCACTACTTCTCAGAAAATCTGGTAGTACCGGGAATCGAACCTGGAACCTCTGGATCTGTAGCCAGGAACTCTGACCACTAGGCCACAGAGGCGGTCTTTTCGAACCATAAACCTCCTTTATAAATTCCAGAACCATTACCGCCTAAGTCAGCTGTCTTTAGTCCTCTCTTAGAAGCTGATAGTTTTTTTTTATTGCTAGTGGGATGGGACTAAGTCCCTTGTACTGAGGCCACTTCTGACCTATTGTACCAGCACCAGATGATAGGTGAGGGTGATTGTGGAGCAATTGGTGGAATGAAGACTGGTAGGGGAAACCGAAGTACTTTGAGAAAACCTGCCCCAGCGCCACTTCGTCCACCACAAATCCCACTTTACCAGACCCGGGATCGAACCCGGGCCGCCGCAGTGGAAAGCCAGCAACTAACCGCTTGAACTATGGCATGGCAGCTGATAGTTCTTACAATATGTGTCATCGTGCGACTCTCCACAGGTTATATTGCACTGCGTTTTGCTTCTGTTTACTCAGGTACACTTTGAAGTACCTACGTAGATTTTATTTCAAATTCATGAGGTGCTTATCTGTATTGGCTTTTGCTCGGACAGTGAATTAGGTGGCAGGGCTGCTGATAAAAAAGGGAGTGACTTATGATCTTCGAATTTTAACGTATGTTGAATCAGTCGATATTAATGAGTTCACTTATAAACTTACCCATTGTCACGACATGCTTATTTTAATAGTTATGAGATTCTGTATTCATCATGAAATAAGTCCTGTGTTCCATGGTTAATTTTAATACTTCTAATTTATTAAAGTCCCTGACATCAGATCTCACCGAAATGAAGTCAGCAATTTTGGAGGAAGACAGACAGACACAACTGCTCTTACATATTCTCTTTGCTAACAATATTATATTTAAGCATCCTGTTGCACTCTACACGATAAATGATACAAAATCCGTCCCAAGTGCAAACAATATATATTATATGTCCTTGATCTTGTTCTCTTCTACACTACATGTTTCGGCCTCTAACGGCCATCATCAGGTGTATACTCTTACGTTACTGCCACACTGAACCCAGTCTAAAATTTAACATTTAAAAAACACATTGTTATTTCTTCGTTATTATCAACATCTACCTCGTTGATATCTGTCTGGTATGTAGATTATTTTGCACGCGTCAATTTTGATTTTTTTTTGTTTTAAATTTAAAATTTAGAGAAATTTTTTAAAGGATTTTAAAATTATAACTAAAGATTTTATAGTGCTAGTACAGAAAAACCAAAATTGACGTGTGCAAAATAATCTACATACCAGACAGATATCAACGAGGTAGATGTTGATAATAACGAAGAAATAACAATGTTTTTTAAATGTTAAAGTTTAGACTGGGTTCAGTGTGGCAGTAACGTAAGAGTATACACCTGATGATGGCCGTTAGAGGCCGAAACATGTAGTGTAGAGGAGAACAAGATCAAGGACATATAATATATATTGTTTGCACTTGGGACGGATTTTGTATCATTTATCTCTTTGCTTTGCCTGTTCCAGCCTCTGCCAGATGTGTTTGTAGGTGTCAAATTGGTTCTGCCACCTTCAGTCATTGAAGATCGCAGTGAACTGGAACGATATTTCATAGCGTATCCTTTTCAGACAGATAACTTCGGATATTTATCAGCAAGGTGAATTGAGGGAATTACATAATAAAGAGCTTTATAATTTATACTTACAGGGTTATCAAGTCAAAGAGGTTGAGATGGGCCAGAATGTACCACACATGGCGGATAGGAAAAGTGTATTTTAATCCAAATTAGATCAAATAAAATAAATTCATGGCATGAAGTAAGAATAATAAAATAGGACAGATCTCCCAGAGAAAGAATTGGATTAGTGTAATAGTAAAGAAGGGATAAATCAAAACATAAGCAAAATAAAAAAAATGGCAAAAAGCAAAAGTACAGTAACTCTTGAAGGAGTGAATTTCACCTGAATAATACATAAAGTTCAGTCCGTACCTCACAGGAAACACATTATATTATGCCTGCTACAAAGCCCAACCAGTTAATGCTGTTTAGGAAAACAAACACTGCTTATTGTGAGAACCATACAGAACACACAAATACACTCTGTGCACAGAATGCAGAGTTTTAATTTGTTAAAGTAGGTAGTGCATATAGTGACCGTTGGGCTTTAAAGGGGTAAACCAGAAAGAATACATTAAATACAGAAGTGGTTGGAGTGTTAAATAGTAATGAAACAGTGACCTTGCTAAGGGCTGTTTGACGCCCAAACCATTACATTTATTCTCACACTTGTATGGGCTGCAGACAGGAAGTGGCCCCTATTATATTCCATTGGGCATCCATAACAGCAGTTTGAAAGACTTTGGTTCTCTGTAACTTTTCTAAGCATGACATTTTGTCCTTTGCTTCAGAAATGTGGGCATCCACATTGAATTTGTTTATGTGGAATGATTACTTTAGTTGATGCAGTAGTGACTGAGGGCATCAGATAGCTAATTCCATATTTACAGCCTTTTCCCTCTGCAGGAAATTTGCACTTTTATGGACAGAAATATTTTATATCAGTCATATCCTTGTGTGAATTTTACTGCCTTCCAGGATGTGACCAAATTGGTTAGCTTAGTGGTAATGCCTCTGAGTTGTATTCAGAAGATTCTCTGTTCAAATCTCAGCCAGAACAGAGCTATCCTGACTGAGGATTTCACGGCACTCCTCAGTTCCTGTAGGAATGGTTGTATACTGCCTCAGATGACGCCATGGCACCTTGTATCTGGTTCATTGTTCATCTGGGATGATGTGTAGTCTGGTAGAAGTCAACTGTGGTGGAGCACAGCATCAGCTTGGAACAGCATATCCAACTTCATTAAATGATGTGGGCCACATCTTCAGGGAAGCAGACAGAGCTCCATCTCAGTCACACAAACAAGGAGGATGGCCCCTGCATAAGCAAGTCATGGAAACCTCTCATCTGCTTCGGAAAGGAGCACAGAAAGCTTCTTTCATAGATTTCCTATGGTTTGGCACTAAGACCAGGCTGTTATGCCGTTAGGCCTTGTGTAAATTGCCCTTTTCAGGCACCTTCTTCCTTTTCTTACCTCAGATGATTCATTTTATTTAGTTTATAATATTGTATTTAAGCATCCTGTTACATTAAGATATAATTTATTTCACATATGTTTCCATCTTAAATGCAACTTATTATCTAGTCCCCCTTCTTCCTCAGTGCATGTTTCAGCTGTATACACCATCATCAAATGTCTTCTGTCTTGTAAAATTGCTGCACTCTAAGCCAGAATTTTGTATCACATGTGAATGTGATATTTCCCGGTTAAAATAGATTGACCTCCATTAAAACTAATTAAAATTAACATCCTGTCATTTTCCTTATGGTCGTCGCCCATTCGTTTGAAAGATATTTGCTCGAGTATCTCTTGTTTCGGATCTACACGTGTTTGTGCAGCATTCCCTTTGCAGCATGGTTATTATCTGTAACATGTAAATAATGTGTTATATAAATTTATTGTTACCTTTGTAAGTAAAGTAAAAAAGTAAAGCTATCCCTGTAACAGGCCGTGGAGGCCCATAGGGTTGTGAGATGTTGAGGTTCCCACATTTTCTAGACAATCGGCTCACAGATGACAGTAAGATTGTCAGCCCTACGCGCTGGCTACCCTTTACCCCCAAGAATATTCCTGGTACTCATTTCTGTTAGAAGCTGAGTCGACCCCAGGGCCATAATGCAGCTGGAAGGATTACGTAAATTGAAAATATCCAATGACCTCATTGGCATTCGATCCCACGACCTTCCAGCTTGTAGCATAGTGCCTCAACCAAGTATGCTGCTGCGTAGATTTATAATTATTGATGTTTATAATTGTACTTAACATATGTTATTTACGCAGAAAGATGTTGATGTAGTGTTATTATCAGTTTTGTTACCTTCAATGTGTAACAGATATATTATTATATATTATTTATTATATCTTGTATGTTTTTACTTTATCTTTCCTCTTATGTACTTCATTTTTCCCATTCTTTGGCTCTCAGTCAACCCCTGTTATTGTTTTGTCTTTCCTTCCATTCACTCCGCCCTTTGAATGGCCAGTTTCTTACACCGTTCTCATTCTTATCGACCCACTCCTCATCTCCCTCCTCTTGTTGTGAGAACACTTTATTCCTCGCTGATTTTACTCCTCTACCTTGAAGATGGAGGCAGCATGTTCCACTGAAACAGCGGTAGTCATCTACCATATTACATGGCATCACATACTAGAAGATTGTAATCTTCATAGTCCCTGATATGAGAACTTCATGTCATATATCCTTGTGTGTTCTGATGTCCTTGGTGTAGTTATTGTTTCTAGAACAAATCCTTGACTCCTGTTAATCAGATATGGTGGAGAATTGCTGGACACATCACAGAAGGAGGACTCAACCCACATTATCCATGTTGGTGATGTAACAGATGGGGTGAGTTCACGAAGCAGTAGACTTATTCTACAGGGTCTGGCAGTGGTATGTCACTCATAATATTACCAGGTTTCTGGATTTTGCTGTCATGTAAGTATTCCAAACAGAATACAGTATTTCAGGAACTGGATCTGTTTCTGTCCTCGTGTGAAAATTGTGTCTGTTAGAAGGAACTGCTCCCCATCTTAGGACACCCCAAGAGCAGAGAAGAAATTTGGTTCTGGCCTTTATGAGCCAAATTGTTTTTGGGTTCAAGTTCCATTAGTACGAATGGCAATTTTCTTTCAGTTACATGGAATATTTCTGTACCTTGAGAGCTAGACCTCGTGATTGAGGAGAGGGAGGATTTGTCAGTACAACAGGTGCTAATTTTGTCATACCCTAACATAACGCACTTTCAAGTCGCCATGTATTCTTATGGAGTCCAGGTAACATGCATGTGTGCACATATATACACAATATACTTTATCCACTGTAATACACAGCCAACAGAAGTATATATATCACTGCAATCAGGTTTTGTTGACAGAAAATAATAATAAAATTGACATTAAAAATTTTGGAAATACTCGTGACACCTTGAAATTAAGGCAGAGCAGTTAAGCTGAAATACATCCTTGAAACAAGGTGAAGCAGTAGCTTCTCACTCAGTCTGTCTTGCATGTTTCAAACGAGTGTCTACTATTTTATGTTTCTGTTCTGTCAGGATGGTGCAATATGCGTGTTGCTGGAGGATGGGAAACGCTAGTTTCACAATGTGTACAAACTCACGTGTGCTTAGAGGCAAAGAATGACAAATTATTTTGAAAATGTTTTAATACATTTCATAGAAAGTAAAAATAACTGATGAAGATTATGTTGGAATAAGAGTGGAACTGCTGAGTGTTGCAATCGGTATAAGATAAAAATGTAAAGTTGTCCATGTGCTTAATTAATTAAGTACCACACAGTGAAGATGTATGGGAGAGTGGACGGATAGCTCCACCATTCTTAACCTCGGCACTAGATGGAGGTGAGTGATCAGCTTCACGCCCCCTGCTGCCTTACACTTGGGGAAATGGTCCCCAAATCCAGTCTGCATGCTGTGGAGAGGAGTAAAATCTCTTGCCTGTGCTTTCTCAGCTGTCGAGCCTGTCACTATACCAGCTCCCTTTCAGCATGTATGAAGAGGTTAGTGTCTTCATCCAGCAATCAGGGAGCTGGACCACTTGTTGATTAATTCAAATTCATTCCTCTGGTAGTCTCTTCAGAGATCTGCCCCAGTTCCTTGAGCCATGTGGCTCATCAGTTTTTAATGAGGTTGGAAGGAAGTGCCTTAGAAATACACACACATAGCTTACTTGTTCAGTTTATTTATTTATGTAAGAGCAGATCTCAGAGTGAGAACAAGATTGGAAATGCCTATGCCTAAGTGAGGTTATTGTGTATTGGTTGTGTGCTTAACTTACAGTCTGTTCTGTACCTGGGTAAGGTAAAAAGTAAAGCTATCCCTGTAACAGGCCCTGCAGACCCATAGGATTATGAGACGTCCAAGCTCCCACATTTTGTAGACACTTGGCTCACAGATGGCGGTGAGATTGGCAGCCTTACATGCCTTTTTCCCCCCAGGAAGATTCCCGGTACTCGTTTCTATTAGAGGCCGAGTCCACCACAGGGCCATATTGCGGCTGGAAGGATTAGGTCAATTTGAATATCCACTGACCTTATCAGGAATCGAACCCACAACCACATAGTGCCTCAACAAACTATGCTACAGCGTTATTCTCTAACTCACTGAGCTTCTCAAGAAGTACTTTACTTCATTGAGTTAGGGAAGTGTTAAAAAATACAAAGAGTGGATTTATTTTCAGGTGTGAGAATTATCTTTCTCTGCAGATGCTTTATGAGTTGTGTGCATTATAGCATTGAACAGCAAAATGGTTGTCCGTGATGCATGGGAAATATGCAGAATATAGCCATCACACTTCATGTTAAGGTACCATAAGGCAGCTGACTTGACAGATAAAGAAACCATGGAAACCCCTGGCAGGATCGCTGGCCTTTGAGCTTTGGGTCCTGTCTGCTATAGTTCACAGGACATGAGTAAGAAGGGTGAGTCATAGAAACTGGCCCTCGCACTGGGACCTTGAGTGATCCATTGTACTTCCCCTTTGGATTAACCCTTTATTAATCCTACACTTCAAATGAAATGTAGGTCTTTATTTATGGGGGCATCATAAAGTCACTTGGTTCCATGAGGAATTGACCCGGGTGGCGATACCTTAGGTAAGCTATAGCCTCACAGTCACATAGGGTATGTGTGGTTGATTCATCTTCTTGTAGGCACCTCTCACAAGTTGGGTCCTCGGTCAGTCCCAGTTTGGAAAGGTGTCCTTTTAGGTGGCAGTGTCCAGTAAGTAATTCTACCACCCATCTTAATTTATCTCTGTTTAATTTGAACAGGTCCCTCATTCTTTTGGCAGAGGGTCCTGATATAAATCCTTTTGCCTGTTTGAGTCCAGTTGTGGATTCCTAGTGTTTTTTGTGATTTTTGTTATTCCAGTCCCTGATCGCTTTCTTGGCAACTCCTGTAGAGATGCTGCAAGCTGGTTCAGGTCCTGTGAACAGCTGTTCAGATCCTGTTTTGAAGTGATTTTGTGTGTACCAAGTGCTTTAATTGCAGCTTGACTATCTGATAGAATATAGATATTTCTATTTTTGTAGTTTCTATCTAAATTCTCAACTGCGCATGCCTTAATGGCATACACCTCTGCCTGGAATGCTGTTGTGTACTGACCGAGGTTGAAGGTATGCTTCCGCCTCGTTCCATCACAATACACCCCAGCTCCAGTGCCTTTATTTACCTTGGAACCATCTGTATACCAGATTAGTCCCCCCTTTCCATCGGGATGAAACCCCTCTTTCCATTCACTTCTGTCAGGAAATCTGATCATGAAGAGTTTATCATAGATATGTGTCGGTATCATTTTATCAGATCCCATCTGTAAGATGGGTTCATTTTTCGTGTCCCAGTTCACAGGACATATTGCCTAACACAAAATAACTTGAAGAACTCTATCCTCCAGGATATAACGCCGTGTAATCGGGTGGAAGTCAACTGATGGTTTGGAATAACATATCAGCTCCATCTTCAGGGCCAAATAGTAAGCCAAGCTAGAAACCAGCAGTGCTTGATTCCTACTTCATTATGATTTCTTACTTGATTTACTCTTCCACCTTGAAGATGGAGGCGATATTTTCATACAAGATGTCGATTGACTTTGGCACTATATCCCCAAAGGTGGAGGTAAGTTATAACGAGCACTTAGTCTAATGTGCATTGCTCAGGCCCCTGAACAAATTCCGTGTAGGAAACTGAAACACCAGACTCTCGGCTTCGATGTTCCACCCCCCTCTCCTTCTATTCTTCTTCCTCTTCATTCAGGTTTTAAGGAGATCTCAGAAACATTAAGAGGACATCATAAAGAAACATACATTGAAGCCATGATCTAATTATGGAGGCAGCCCACTTGGGTTTAGGAATCACAGGTTGCAGACTTTGCTGGCTCGTGTTATGTAATTTGAAATTGAGGTTTCCTCCCCCTGCCTCATCTCATTGAGGGTGTAACTGCCTGTCGCGTCCTCTGGGAGCAACCCAGACAACTTGGGAAGTTGTTTAATTGAAGTTTAATTGACTCGCGCGCTTGTACATGTCCAACTGTCCAACTACATGATCTGGCCGGCTCTGAATTCAAAGAGCACACACACTGTTGACTTTGCCGCGTGGCTCCAGTTTCGACGTGTGACGTGCAGACAGCTTTGAGCACAAATGTCACAGTAACCCTTTATAGACTGAATTTCTTCTAGATAATATATAAAACTCGGTTTCTGCTTCACAGAAAACACATTACATCCCGCCACAAAGGTCAGCCGGTTAATGCTGATTAAGGAAATAATCTAGAAGCACACAGACTGTGGACAGAATACAGAGTTCTAGTACGGTAAAAGCAAGTGGTACATATAGTAACCACTAGGATTCAAAGGGTCAAAAGGGCGAATACGTTTCTTAAGCGTCTGAAGCATGAAATTAATGTAAATAAGATGCAAGGATTCCGTTTCATACCTCACAGAAAACACACTGTATCTATATGACAGACACCATTTGGATTATAGTCTTTACGACAATAACTGCTGTCCATTCTGAGAATCATGCAAAACTCATTAATACACTTTGTGGACTAAAAGCGGAATTTTTTAATTATAAAGGAGGTGGTGCATATAGTAACCATTGTATGGCTGCCTGCCATAACATTAAGAGGCGGTGCACTATCTCCCACAGAATGTATTTATGGGTTTTGTATGATAAACAGGAACTATTCTAATTACTGAAATTTTGGGCTTTCTGGACGGGGACAGATTTCTGTCTCCGAAACGTCGGTTTAAGTAAAAATGTGACCCTGGATAATGTCCAAAAAGACTATCTTCACGAACTTAAATTATTTCTCTTAACATCATTAACCAGTTGGTCTTTGTAATGGAGACTGGGTGTATTTTCTGTGAGGTAGGAACAGAACTTTTAAATATTTAGATGAATGTAATGTTTCGAAGGATCCCGTGTGGAGGCGGGTTCGATTACCTCCAAGTGGCCCTGGGGTCGACTCAGTCTCAAACGGAAATGAGTACCAGAAATCTTCTTGGTGGTAAATGGCAGCCGGAGCGCAAAGCTGACAACCTCACCGCCATCTGTGAGCCAGTTGTCTAGAAAATGTGGGAGCCTCGACATCTCACGACCCTATGGGCCTCCACCGCCTGTTACAGATATAGCTTTACCTTATTTTACATACGAATATACCAAGTATTAACACCCAAGAATTCTAAATATTTTTTTAATTATTACTGTAACCTGGAAACTGCCCAGCTATCAGTAAAAATACTCCTAAGCGGCTTAAAAGTAGGCTTTTAAGAAAGTTTTCGCCCCCCCGCGCCATGAATAGTCCTGGCAGTCCTACTTTGCGCTTGCTATAAACAGTCGTTTACTGTTTCTGTCAGCGTTACTTTGTTCTCAGCTGCAGTAACTGAACACAGAAGCCTTTGTTCTGTCGGCCCTGTCGAGAGACCTGGAGTTCTGCAGTCTATTAGCGACAGAGCTCGGCAAAGTGGCTCAGCTCTGGGACTTGCTTCCTCCCCATGAAAGTGCTGAGCTGGAGCAGAGTACTGCGTGGGGACTGTGGGGCCACGGTGACACCTGTTGATAGAATGTTACACTGCTAACTTATTTATTTGTTCCATCTTTATTTAACGACGCTCCCAGTAATACATGCGCTGTCAGCAATTGGACAACATAGTGTCGAACCGTAGGGTGATGAATCGGAAAGGATTTGAAAGGAGGTGGTCATGGTCTAGTCTATCTATCCCGGAATTTTCCTAGAGAGACTGAGGAAAAACGCGAAACTTTTGGGTCAGGATAGTCGATATCACTGAAATTCGAACCGAGCAGCTCCCGAATGCGGGTCTATAGCTTTGCCGCATTCACACCGTCGAAGACCACACTTGCGCGTCTGGCACAATTATTCGTAACCCCGAGCAAGATGGCCGAAGAAGTAAGGCTTCTGACTTGTATTCGAGGGATCCCTCTTCCTAATTTCGGCCGACATTCCGTTTATCCTGAGTTTGTTCATGGTTTTCCACAGTATCTCTGTGGTCTGGTGGTCAAGGGTTCGATTCCCGGCGCTACCAGATTTTCTAAGAAGTAGTGGTTCTGGAACGGGGTTCACTCAGCCTCATGAGGATAATTGAAGAGTCATTTCAAGAAGATAGCGGCTCCGGTCTAGAAAACCGAAATTAACTTCCGTGGGGATTCGTTGCTCAGACCACGCGACACCCTCTTTCCGCTAAAATTGGCACTAACTTCCCTCACAAGCGGCGATGGCTCCGTCGGTATAGTTCGCATGTGGACTAAAACCACGGAGCTTGTTTGTTTTTTTGTTTGTTTTTTCCAGAAAACTTTGGGCTAATGGGACGACTTCTTGCCATATACAGTTCATATTCCAGTGCATTATTTACTAACGTTATTTATTTGTAGTTGGTTTTATGAAGCTGTCAGTAGCGCAGTCGAAAGTATGGTAAGGGAATAAACACGTTCATTACACGAGCCCAGACTGGGGTTCAGGTTCTACAAAAACGGATCATCGCACAAATAGTGTGTAGATTGTTGCAGACCGGCTCTGTGGCCCACACCGTCACATGGTTCTCTTTCTCCTGGACTAAAGCTGTCGCGACATCAAGTCGACCACTTGTCTCAATCTGGTGCCGAGGTTAAGAATGCGTGGAGCCATATCTCCATTCCCCCGTACATTTTCATGACCTAATGCTCGATCAAGCACATGGATAGCTTTACCTAAATTTTCTAATGGCTTAAATATGACGCTCGGCTGTTCTGGTTGTGATTTACAGAATGAAGAGGCCCGTCACGTGACCTTGCGGTGGCTGTGGGATTCCATCAAGCTGCAGGCCCTGCAGGAAACTCGCCGCTACGCCGTCCCTTTCTCTGGAGCGGGGAATCCCTGAAACACGAGGTACACTCCATCGTCAGTGACGTACATCGTTACGTCATCATTAGAACGTTGCTATAAAAAAAACGTAACATAGCTCAAGGGTTTTTTTATTGCTAGTGGGGTGGGACTTGTACAGTCCCTTGTACTGCGGCCACTTCTGGCCTATTGTACCAGCCCCAGATGATAGGTGAGGGCGATTGTGGAGCAATCGGTGGAATGAAAATTGGCAGGGGAAACCGAAGTACTCGGAGAAAACCTGCCCCAGCGCAACTTTGTCCACCACAAATCCCACTTGACCAGACTCGGGAACGAACCCTTGTCGCTGCGGTGGAAAGCCAGCGACTAACCGCTTGAGCTATGGCGCGGCCTTAGCTCAAGGGGTTAGTCGCCGGATTTCTGATCCCAGGTCACGTGATGTGGGATTTTTGGTGGACAAAGTGGTACTGGAGCAGTTTTCCCCTAGCAGTTTTCATTTCACTTGTTTCACGTTCATTACTGAGCCTATCTTAGACGCTGTATGGCATTTGGTATTGGCAGCGTCGTTAAGTAACTAACTCCGTTTTCAACATGCTTCTGGTATTCATACGCCGGTGGGAAATGTAAATACTTACGTGGGACTTTTAGTCCATAAGGTTGCCTGCACAAGGCATGGCATACCCCGGTTCGTGGAGTAGATGGATTTCGTAGCATTTCATGGGACAGTGCTGGCTGCCCTTCCAATAACAAATTGCGTGTACCGGTATTTGGGGCTTCTATGTATGAGTGCCCCGTATATAAAATGTGAGCTTTAATTACCATGAAGATTTCTGTTCACTTCTGATTTATTTGCCGTATTTCCTCGATTCTGAGGCTCACTTTTTTTCACATATTAAAATATCCGAAATCCGGATGCGTCTTAAATTTGATCATGTCTAAGAACCGATGTCAGAAAATTATATTGTATTTACTAAAGGTCAAGTGAGATTTGTGGTGGACAAAGTGGCGCTGGGGTAGGTTTTTTCCGACTATTTCGGTTTCCCCTGCCGATCTTCATTCCACCAAATTCTCCGTCATTATAATCACCCGGTGCAGGTACAATAGGCCAATCAGTGGCCGGCGTGCCGAGTGGACCCAGCTGGACTCCACCCATCACTTAGCGAAAAATGGAATGCAAGGAGAATCTTCCATTTCCTCAACGCTAGTCATGGGACAGTACACACAAAAGTAGCGACAAAGAATATGCGAAATAAAAGAAACTTTTTAAACATTTTCGAGATTGCGTGCTCATGAGATATTGATGTAGTTCGTTGCGTTATCGTTGGAAAGTTACTTCATTCTATTTTCAACGTACGTTAGAAACCAAAATCGCCATATCAGAGGTCTCGTGGGCGCAAAATGCACGGAGTCACATCCCAGAAGACCCTAATTTTCATATCCACCTCTGTGAGTGACTCAAAGGCATAGATTTAGAGTTTAAAGTTCAGTGACTTCAGAAACGAATCCTTGTCGAGCTCGTTTTGAAGTGAGAGCCGTAGAAAGGGAAGAGCGTCAGGAATTGGCAGATGCACCCTGGGGTAATTTCAAGCTGCAAAGTTTCAGCGCATCCCTTCCAAGAGGTTCATGGCGCAGTCAAACCGCAGCCGCTTCGCGCCAACTGCCGGGACCGTATGAATCTATCAACTTCTGCGCTACTTGTCGCTTGCGGCCGCATTGACAATTGAATTCATAAGGAAATAACGAGTTCCCAGTACATGAAATTTATTTTTCTCTAATCCTATATAATGTTATATATCAGCATCCCGTTGTTAGTTATTTGATTTGCGTGGGCAGTCATGGAGGTGCAAAATTGAAAACATTTTATCGCGTTGTCATGTTGTGTGTGAGACAGTTTTTATTTGTCCCCGCCAACACATGTATTTGTATAAATTCACTATATGTTTCAGCCATTCGGCCAGCGTCAGGTATTAACACAATTTACATTTGCCTTTATCTCATTTGTTCTTCTTCCCTGTATTGGACATTTTTAGTCTGCTCTCCCTTATTTAGGAAAATAGAAGTGGGCTTATGAGATCACCATGCTGTCTGTATGTCTATGTATCCCCTCCATCAACTTTTGAATGCCCGACCCAATGTTTATGAAACTTGGTACCTGAGCCCATCTCAACAGCTTACGTCATAAATCCCTCCCATTAGTCTGTGTCGTTGCTAGACAACAGCTCAGTAAAAACGTTACCACGGCAACGAATACACACCCAACTATAGAATAAATGCTGGACGCGTCGTTCTCTATGCAGTCAATGTATCAAAGGATAGTACGCGATTAGTTCTTGTTTTTCTTTATTTGGGAATAGTTTTCTCGTTGTTGCATGTGGTCTGGTGGTCAGAGTTCCTGGATACAGATCCAGAGGTCCCGGATTTGATTCCGGGCGATACCAGATTTTCTGAGAAGTAGTGAGTCTGGAACGGGTTCCACTCAGCCTCGTGAGGATATTTCAGGAGCTACTTGAATGAAAAAATAGCGGCTGCGGTCTAGAAAACCGAGATTAACGGCCGTGAGAATCCGTTGCGCTGACCACGCGACACTTTCTGTCCGCAAAAGTTGGCACTAACTCTGCGGCGGTTGCTAGGTCGGTATAGTTCGCTTGCGGACTAAAGACCACAGAATCTGTTTTGTTTTTGTATGTTAATATGTAGCCTCTGTTAACATTGATGTGTGGTGTATCTATGCAAATAATTATGTTGACGGGGCCAAATAAGCGTAAGCTCGTGTCATGCACGTAGATGTTTGCAGTGCTACGTTTGCAGTCCTTTCTAAATATCACTTCTGTGACATGTCTCGACTTTATATGGTCGTCATCAGGTAGATTACGCAGTTCTCTCACTGCACTGGGTGTGTCAGCCCATTGTTCCCAAAGGAGCAGTTGTATTTTGTTTGAAGTTGATATTCTGTGTGCCGTGTCCCGTGGACGGTCAGTAAGCACACGCCACCATCACAGATAAAGGTATTTAGGAGTTTCAGTAAGACGAAATCATACCTCCTGTATGATGATTGTGACTTATTTTTACCGCTGTAATGGCTTTGCTGTTTGCAGTCATGTGTTAGGTTTCCGTGTCTAGTCTGGATGCAGGATATCTGTATGATTTGCTGTGAGTTCCCGCGCTGTGCTTATGACAAATGCCTGCAGCGCAGTGGAGGTGGGGAAGCCCCAATGTATGTTGTATTCCCAAGCCTGGAATAAATTTGTTTATGTATGACCCTAAAGGTTATATGTGGAAATGTGACGCAACACGTACCTGAGGTAGCGAAATGAACTCCACAAATTGGGGAAGGGGGAGATCATTTCTTTTATTTTATTCAGTTTCAAGGCGGAGCCTGGATAGCGGAGTCGGTATAGCTACTGGCTGCTTGCTAGACGATCAAGGGGTCGGAATCCAAGTCTTGGTAGGGGTAAGACTTTTCTCCACGTCATCCAGACCTGTTCTGAGACCCACACCCAGCCTAGGGCTCTTCTCCCGGAGTAAAGCATGGTGTATTTTTCGGGTTTATTTCGAGATTATCAGATTATTTCTCTAAGTGTGTATACTAAATATTGTTTCAAAGATAAACAAGTTTAATATAGAATTTTTATATCACTGCGCGAGATATCTCCTAACACCCAGTGGGTAGGGTTTTCCAGCGGTATCTTCCCCTTTCTGAAACGTGTTGTGACAGAACTACATACAAGAATAGCATGCAGTGAAAAGGAAGTTCAACTCACACATTGCAATACTGAAGTGTGCGGTCTTTTGGATTGTAACGCCATATAGTCAGAGACAGCCAGACGTTTCGGAGGAAAAAACCGTCACCATCTACAAGTTGTAGAGTAAACCAAGCAAAAAATCAGTAGAAACATTGCCGTGTCCTTGCTCAGATAATTCTCAGTTTACTTCAACTGTTACTGTTGCTTGACTGTAAGGTAAAAAGGTAAAGCTATCCCTGTAAGAGGCCGTGGAGGCCCTTAGGGTTGTGAGACATCGAGGTTCCCACATTATTTAGACAATAGGCTCACACCTGACGGTGAGGTTGTCAGACTTACGCGCCGGCCACCCTTTACCCCGAGATTCCTGGTACTCATTTCTGTTAGATTCTGAATCGACCCCAGGGCCATAGTGCCGCTGGAAGGATTAGGTTAATTAAAAAATATAATACCTCATCGGGAATCGAACCCGCGACCTTCCTGCTTGTGGCATAGTGCCTCAACGAACTACGCTACCACGTGCCCTCATTGTTTTACTGTAGTGTATAATTTTATATTATGGTCTTCTGTTCCCTCTCCTGTTAAGCTCCGATCATTACAGGCCTTGACCAAATGAGAAATTGTGACCCCTCTACTCTAAGGAACTTGTCGATAATCCTCGGTAGTTTGGAAGCTGGATTGAAGCTGTAACTTTGTTGGATCTACAAATCCTTGCTAAGCTACTGTTTCCCCCTTATCCCTTCTGTCGCTTCTTGTCAGCGTGAATGGTGAAGAGAGAATCCAGGGCACTCCTATAGCGGATTATTCTGTGCTGTCTGTACTATTGTTGTAGCCCCGAACATTTTGTTCATTTCTTCCTGTTGCCTGTTGTTGCCGAGAGTTTCAGATAAAGACAGGCTCAGTATGAGAAGTTCAGCAGCAGCGGTTAAGGGACTAGGAAAAGCATGGTCGTTTCTGCCTAGCTAGAAATTTGCAGCTCTGCCCTGATGTGGATTATTGTCTGTCTGAAACATCTTTGAGGTTATGTTACATCTTGAGCAGGCAACTTTATGGAAGAAAAAATTACTGTGTTCAATGAGGTTCCTTGTAAGGTGATTTTGGTTTCCATCGTCTGTTGAGAATGCAGTCTGATAAGTTTTTAATGAAGTCATAGCAAGACACGGCAGTGTCTGATGTTGACACAGCCACGAAGTAGTTTTATACACCATATACATCATATCCTATCTGTTCACATGGAAAAACTCTAGAACCGCTCAGTGGATTTTCATGAAATTTGGTATTGGTAAGTTTTTACTGAAATCTGTCAATATATTCTCCAGTTTTTATTAAAACAGCAAGAGACACAACATGAAGACCTACATGCGTTTCTTGCATGCATCTGTAGCATAAGTCACCAAATATTTATCGGAGCGAAAAACGTTTTTAACGAAAGCTGTAGAGATAAATGAAAAATAATTATGTTCAGTGTGATTGTTCAGGAAGTTATATTGTTTTGAAGGTGATGTAACAGAAGTGTGCAATGACACTAGAGTTGTTCAGCTACGTGTAATTTCCTGACTTTTTAGATAACATTTTTAATATAGGTTATGTACGGACAATTTGAAATTTGAATCGAAGATATAACAAGTTATTTAAGCAGATATTTTATACGTTGAAGTGTGTATATTTTTTGGGCCCCTCTGTATAACCAGCCGCGGTTTCGGCTCTTTGTTTTCTCTTTATCAGTGCCCATAATTCGTTGTATGTTAATATTTGGATGGCCATGGTTGTGTAAAATGTTATCTATTAGTCTTTCCGTGTCTTTTTATTTGCACTCTTCTTGTTACCTCATACGAAAATGAGTAAATTTGCCATGTGAATATATTTGTTAGCAAGAAAGCAGTGCAGTGTTGGTTGTGTTTTCCTGGCCAGTAATCTCTCCTAACTGTTTCAGTTTACTGAACAATCAGATAAGGCGCTTATATAGCGAATGTTGTTCATGCATTATCCAACTCGTACACGTAACAAATTATTCCCCCCCCACAATCCAACACACTCGTCAAGCTTACATGTTCCTGTTCATTGTTATTCAGAGTCGGTAGCATTGTTCATATAATTCAATGAGACAGACGAATATAGGTCATTGTTGTAACCAGGTTAGTAATTTCAATATGGTGTGGACGGAAATAGCTAACAAGCTCAGCCCATGCAGGCGCTCCTATGAGGGACTTCAACGTACAGTAAACTGACCATCAGATGCATTTGTGCACAGATCGAGCACATTTAATAAATTATGAGATAATAATTAAATGGTAGGAAACATAACGTTACATGTTTGTCTGGTGCAGTGTAGTGGAAATAACTTATACCGTTCCATGTTACGGAATTAGTATCCGTCTTTTGTTTCACTGGACTGTCCATACTTCGTTAGTAACATATTGTTCCGTTCAGTACTTCAGAGCGCTGCTGTAGGCCCCAGCTTACGTGAACAGCATCATGGCGGCTTGTAATCGGAAGTTGTGGCTGTACTGATGACGAGAACGCGATTCTTGCTACTTATCTGAGGAATTGTGAATTTATAAGTACTCGTTCTTTACTCGGTATATTGTACTGTTCCTTTCCTTGCCAATATCAGAATATTCCCACTTGTGTGAGTGCTACTATAGACGGGGTTTGAATTGGTAGTAGCACAGTCCATCTTCATGACAGTCTAGGTAGCATACGCGCATGCGCATGTTCAGAGGCTGGTTGCAGTAGTCAAAATGGCGACCGTGCTTGAGGAGTGTTCTGCCGAAGAGCAGCTCTCTTTTATGTATATTTTGTGGTTAAAAGGACTCAATGCGAAGGATATTCATAAATAAATGATTCCTTTTTACGGTGGGAAATATTTATTGCGTAAAGCGGTTCACAACTGGGTCGAGAAATTATCTCAAAGTCGCAGAAGATGCCCGATCAGGTGGGGAAGTGGCTGAGACAACAGTAAAAAAACTTCAATGCTGCAGGTTTCGACGCACTGGTAAAGAGATGGGACAAATGTATCGATGTTGGTCTAGGATATATCGAGAAATAAAGGTTTTGTGCGTGTTCGAATATCACATGTTTTACGTTTTATATCCATATGTGACATATTTACGGACTCTCCCTTGCAGGTATATATTTGCATTAAGTTTCCAGTACAGCAATAAAATAATCCTGAACTAACTCTGAATAGAGCCGGGATAGCGCAGTCGCTATAGCGACTGACTACGGGCCGGGGCTTGAAGCTGACCAGTCGCTTCCAACTAGAGCTGAGGTCAAGATAACGTGGATCTATACATCCACTTCCCCTCACGTCTTCATGGCATAGTGCTTCATTAGTTAAGCACAGGGACAGTTTTACCTTTGACTGTAAAGCTGTGGACAGGGTCCGAGGAAGGTCTTTTGCTGTGACGTTATGATTGGTTCCCGCAACAAGGAATTTCTTTATGTGCTTAAATCACCATCTGCACAGGAACGCTTTGTACGGGGCTATTATCTGCAAGAAAAGGTTCGTCTAATACCGTAGTGCTGCTATCACATGGGGGCAGTTCAGTAATTAAATAGTTCTGTGATGGAAACAAAAGGCCTCTGCTCCTACTGTTAGGAAGTTGGATTGGGTGTGAGGCTTTTGTGGTGTGTAATTTGATACTAGCTCAAGGGCAAGTTTCTCTCGGTTTCACTTAAACTTCCCGTAAGCTCTGCTTATGCGCAGAGAAACGAAGGAGCAGTGGGAAGTTGATGTCTGAACATCAAACTCGGCAGTGCTTCAGGATTTTGTTACAGGAACACGTCAAACGTAATTCGATAGAAGAGTGGCCAGAATTTTCGGTTCCAGAGTGTCCTGGTTGTTGGAACCCTCTGTGTACCTTAAATAGCATTTCCGCTCCCAGAATCCAGCTTTATATTCGGAAAGTCCTCTTTTCGAATATTGTCGCGTTCCGTGATACCAGTTCGGTTTCACACGTAACCTCAGTCACTTCGAGGAAATATAAGCAAAGCTTAAGTTGGCCACGACTCATGTATGCCACGTCGTTCTCCGTTCGTTTCTGAACCGAACATCACGATCAAAATTTTTGCAGTAGAATCTCAAATAGTAAATTATCTTTTTACTTACACTTTAAGTTTTACACATTTTGTGGGATTACTAGTTTTACTCGAAATAATTTTACAAAAGTATGTAAAGTACTTACTTCCTAAAAACTCCATGTATTCTTCTACAGGGTGTCCCAGAATAAAATGTCGATATTCTGGGCGGTCATAGTATCGGCCATTCTAAGCAAAACAGTGTGTATGTACGTGTGTCCTATTCCTAGCGGTTTCCTGGATAGAGCTATTTCACCGTACAGTTCTGAAATTGTTGATAAGAAACATACATTACGTACTGTTTCTAATACCGCTGTTTACTGTTCAAGTGACAAAGTTGGTACAGTTTACCTAGTATAATACATTTCCGAAAACTCCAGCTTCAACATCAATGCACTTTGCAGCTCGTGTGAGGACATGGCGTGCTGCTCGTCTGTACAGTGTACAGTGAAGCTCTATCTCGGAAACAGTTCAGAATGGGACACATGTACATATACACTTTTTTCTGCTTAGAAGGGCCGATACTGTGACCAGGGGCGGCCCGTGTATAGGCCTGCGGAACTGCAGCACCCCCAATTTCCACTTCATATTATCGATAACATTTATATAATGAGTCCTTTTTTCTTTAATTCTTTCTTTATACTTGTATAATACAATATATAATCCTTAAGCTTAATGTCAGTAGCCAAATCTTTGTATGGAACTGTGCGCTTCTGGAGCAGCACCCCCACTAATTTTAGCTACGAGCCGCCACTGACTGTGACCTCCCAGAATATTGAAATTTCCTCCTGGGACATTGTAGTATCTTTCCATATTCCGCTTGGTGTCGTGTCCATGGCGTTGTCGAAAGCGTGTTCTATTCTTCATGCAGGAATTAATGTGATTTGCTTTAATTTGATACGTAATGTAGTGAACTGGTCCCTGTTGAACAGCGGAGTGAACCTCCCGCCTGGTGCGCTTCTGCCCATCAACACTTGCTCAGACGCTCTGCTTGTGAATGGCCACTGTGCTCAGCGTTTGAAGAAAGAAGAAGAAGGCAGTACGGCCTTTTCAGCACAAACTTAGAAGTTACTTTCATTTCATGAACAATTACAAATACATGTATGATTTTGTAGGTATATTTCCTTCCAGGTGTAAAGATGTTGAAAAAATGGGAAATGTATTAATTTGTTGGTAAATGAAATGTAAGAAGTTCTGTAAAATACATAATTTATTGAACGAATAATTTATTAGCGGTAATTATTTAAGCCATTGTTACATGTTCTCTTACAGCGAGGATTGTGACAGTGGAGGGAACAATGAAATGTGTGAAGATGTTGAGTAGGAAATACAGTGAGCCACGTCAGAGTGCATCTAACTTCATGTACGTGTTTTTATTTTTAAGGATTACTAACAAAATGTGTAATTTTAATTTTCATCACAGCTCGTTTTTGTGCAAAGTTTATGGCTGCGCTAATATTAATGCGAAGGCGTGACTAAAATACAAATGTATTTAACAAGATAAGCGTTCCCACTTTCGTGACGTAACCTATTTCGTGGGAGGGCCCTCATCAATAAATTAATAGGCATGTATTTCACAGCTCTCCATGCATGTCTGCAACCTCGTAATTATATCATCTGTGGACTCCTGCCAAAAAGTGTCACAGCACACTTAATTTTGTGGCCAATTTAGAATTTCTTACCAAGAAACAGGTTACATCACCAGATTGCTTAGTTTTGTCCTATAGTTAATCCACCCCAACTTTAAGAATAGTTATAAGTCGGGCCTGATTACTATACAGTGTGAAAAGAAAATCTTCATTTTAACGCCTAGTTTTTACATTGTCTTCCCACGAGATCAGCAGCTGGGAAGAATTTTAAGTGCTGATGGTGGAAGGGGGGATCTTAAGTATTGAACCCCAAATTCCCTGATATAAGAACTGTTGATGTAGTTATTAAAGTAATATTCATAAAGGAGCATTCACGTAAACATTGGGATTTTCAGTTCTTTGAAGGTTAGTATTTGATAATTCGTTTTCAGAACGAAATTCAATTTAATTCTGCCCCTAGATGTCATATTTCCATTCCCGGAACTGTTTACAGTAAGACGTAGAGACAAACTTTGCGATTTGATCCCGTGTGGAGCAAGTTCCAAGAGAGGAACATGTTGCACTTGCACGTGACGTCAACACAACCTTGTGTACAATTGTTGTTGTATGCGTTAACCTGTACCGTGTTCGACATTCGAGGAGTTTCAGCCTCCCCATTCCGCCCCTCAACGTTCAAAAGGGGATTAGTATTAATTAAAAAGCCACGGAACAGAAAAACAAATCATTTCTACAGTACTTGCCCGAGAAGACATTAGAACGTCAACCCGCGCTATAGAATTAACCGATACATTATTAGTCACTTAGAGGTCACAACCTAAGAGCTCCGGAAATGGTTACTGACTGACAAGCCGCACGCTGTAATAATGACTTGTGTGGTATGATACAATAATTTTATTGTTCTTATAGTAATTTTGTAAAGGTTCTCCAATTTTACACGCAAGCCCTTTATATTTAAATACGACAAGAGACCCATTAACTTACTGGCCAATATTTCAAATGTAAGAAGTGGTGGAAATTTCGCCAGAATGATTGCTCTTACAGCCTGATCATGACCAATAAAGTCGAAACATATAGCTAAGTTATTTCATAAAATAATAATGATAAATATAGAGCTATCCTTGTAACCGGCCGTGGAGGCCCATAGGGTTGTGAGACGTTGAGGGTCCCACATTTTCTAGACAATCGGCTCACGGATGGCGGTGAGGTCAGCCTTACGCGCCGGCCGCCTTTTACACCCCAAGAATATTCCTGGTATTCATTTCTGTCAGAGGCTGAGTCCATTCCAGGGTCATAGTGCGGCTGGAAGGATTAGGCCAATTGAAAAAGTCCAATGACCTCATCGGTAATCGAATCAGTGACCTTCCGGATTGTAGCATAGTGCCTCAACCAACTACTCTACTGCATGCGCATAATAATAATTTGTACAGTGTTGTGTTAGCGGTTTATATACATGTGCTGAAGTGTGCATGTCGGCCATTAGTGTCATATTGTCGTCTGGATTCCGGAGACGAAACTATGAATTTCATGATAACTTATATTTATGCTTTGGTTTTCTCAGAGATTTTATTGCGAATTTGAAATAAGTTATAAGATTTGGTTTAGTTTATTACGAAACTATTATCACCGTATTGATGTGCAAAGTATTTGTGCGTATATCATAACGTTTTTGGCTTATAGAAGATGTTTATCAATTGCCACCAGAATCAGTCTGCGTTGTCACCTTATGCGAACTATACCGCCGTATGTTAAGTGCGTGGATTTATATGCGCATCGGCTGCAGCGGCCGTTTGCGCCTGGAGCCTTGTAAAGTAAAGATATTTATCGTGGGATTGTATTACATTTAGGAATTCAATATTAATTTTCCCCACTGTTAGTTTAAGTGCTGTTGCTGCTGTTTCAATTATAGGCCTACAATTATGAAACTACAAGCCAAAAATGGCCTGTTTACAGACGTGCTCACTTTAACACATACCGCTTTCGGAACACCCGTCCAGTGGGAAGAACTGTGCGTAAGCTTTGGGACCAAAACAAATCGTGAAGACGCATAACTAAGTGACTTTGAACTCAAGATGTCCAACTTAACGATTCCTGAGTTTCACATCTACAGATTACAGTTAATCTACATGAAGATTAGTGTCTTGTGCAATGTGACGCCTAGTAGTTTGGTACGTAGATACGTTTCGGAGAAACCTGCTGTCTCCATCTTCAAGGTAGAAGAATAAGCGACGCAAGACTCAATAATAAGGAAGGACGAAGACTGGGGTTTATACCGAACCAATGGGAGCGGTGTAAACTGAATGGAATCGCAATTGGTTCCGATCCGTTTTACACAGCTCTCATTGGTTGCCTCTTAAGTCCAGTCCTTTAATTCTTTTCTATCCTCAAGGTAGAGAAATTCTTCCGAAACCTTGGTATCTACGTGCCGTTGCAACTCAGAAAGCAGTAATGTTCATAATTACCGCTGTGAGAACCTGAAACCTCACGATCCGTATGAAGTTAGGACACACCCTGCGTTCTGTTGCGATGCCAAAATAGGATCCCAAGTTACTATACAGGATTAGGCGTTAAAATTCTAAACTGCGTTTGACGTGGCAATTTCTGTTTTGAATTGCTGAGGGAGAAAATAAATTGGATGAAGTTCGGATGTCGCGTGCCTAATGCAGAGTGATTTACTTCCCAAAACAAGACACTGCGTTGAAAGCACACTGTTTCCAGTAGCTCCTCTTCCTCTGCAGGTCCGAAACGTCCATCTGGCTTCGCAAGCGGTTCACCACTTGTTTAGCGAACAGGTAGTTGATCAGGGCAGTCTCGATAGAACCATCGTCGTCCACTAGCTGAAACACATGACGCGTATTATCAGCAGTTGAGGTTATGTAGCTTTTAATGAGTTGTGGTAGGAGGCTGTCGTGGTCTATTGTAACATATCCCTGCATTCCCTCTAAGAAAATAACCAAGAATGTCATCCAGGATTCGACCTCAGTACTCCCCAGACACAAGTCACTCTCGTTTTTTTTTAATTGATAGTGGGGTGGGACTAAGTGCCTTGTACTGCGGCCACTTCTGGCCTCTTGTACCAGCCCCAGAGGATGGGTGAGGGTGATTGTGGAGCAATTGGCGGAATGAAGATTGGCAGGGGAAACCGAAGTATTCGGAGAAAACCTGCCCCAGCGCCACTTTGTCCACCACAAATCCCACTTGACCAGAACCGGGATCGAACCGGTGCCGCCGCTGTGGGAAGCCAGTGACTAACCGCTTGAGCTATGGCGCGGCCCTGTCAGTTTCGTTAGTGGTCTTTATTGGTCACGTTTTGAGAAACATCGCTTTATGTTACAGGGTGTTCGCCGAAAAAGTTGGTTCGTGTATCGTGACGCTTCTGATTTTTGTTTGGGATGTGCCCGGTTCGTATCTTAGCCTAGACACAGGACATCCTGGCTGAGGCCATTCGTGGTTTTCTCAGTTATTCCCGGAAAATGCCGATATAGTGCCCCAAATTATGGTAAACCGCTGCGATTTACATAATTTCGAATTAATCATTCATTCATCGTCCTTTCGGTTGACTGTATGTACTCTGAACTATTGGCAGCGTCGTTACACGAGACATACCGTTGAATTTTCAACGGGAGTTACACTAGTATTTCTTTATTAAGCTATAGATAAAAACAAAGTAAGGACATTTGGTCGTAAATGTTGTTACATCAAAAATAAATGCAATCGTACCACACGCGAGTTGCCATGTTTTACCAAAGTTCTGTTATCTCTTTTAATTGTTGCGACGGTGCTGAAAGTGAACTTGATGGGCGCAGTTTTGAAATTACTCATAATACAGAACACATTATAAATAAGTGTAAAAGCGACAAATCCAGCTGAGATGCCATAAAACAGCAGCGCAGCAGGCAGAGTTGGATATTAAGGGGAAGGGGAGAAACAAAAACAAAACGCAGTCCGCTGACATGTAAGCAATTTCACAAGGAGCTGAACAAGTTTCGATAAAGTAAATAGAAATGGAAAGTTGAGTACATTGCAGTGCAGTACAAATATTCTCCAAACGCATTTCTTCCGTCTCGATCGTCATCTGTTGCGAATGGAACCGTATTGTTGCGAAGCTGTCCACACACTTCATTTCACGCTGCTGTAGATCCATGTATTATTAATCCGTGGTGTCATAGATAAAAGTAATACGTAAAGAATATTTGTCAAAATCGGATAACAGCAACGTAGAATTCTTTCAAATGGATCAAACGAAGCCAGGTTATGTCTCTAAGCACATAACTATCCATTCAATGATAACAATGAAATATTGACTTAAACTCATTTTCATAAACGTCTAAAGTTGTTTCATCTTCTTCTGAATAATGGCATTTAATGACATAACTCCCTTGTCCATACCATAACAGATTTAACTTTGCATTCTATGAAATTTTAGGCTGTGTTATTTAACCCAGTGAGTACCAGGGGCCCTTTCACACGGCGTGAAGCTGACCACTCACCTCCAACTAGTGCCGAGATCAAGAATAGTGGAGCTATACCTCCACTGCCCCATGAGGCTTCATGACATAATTCTTAATTAATTAAGCACAGGGACAACTTTATCCTTTTTACGTGCTCAGATTAGGGACCAGAGGCGGGCTCTTGTGGAAACGGTAATGAACCTTCGGGTCTCATTCAATGTTAGGGAAATTCTTGATTAACAGCAATTTTTAACTCTCAAGAATGAGTGAGTCCCCATGGAGTTAATTAGTTTTTAATAAAAAAACACGGTATTTTATCCTACTTGTCCTTTTACTCAGTCACTCCAGTCTCCTGACTGCTTCGTAAGCATTTTTATTCCCCGTCGTCTTACACGGAAGCAAGGCCTCTCTCGTTGATAATAATTACTGAACTTGGAAGTTCAATAGTGATCACAACGAGGGCCATGAAGAGTGCTGTATTCTGGGATGTGACACCGTGTAGTCTGGTGGAAGGTTACCGACATTTCGGAGGAAAACACTGCCTCAATCTTGAGGCCGAAGATAAAACCATGCAACCAGCAAAAAAAAAATGCAGTCAGGGTCACTTGCTGCGTTTTGGCCCTGAATGGAATCAGTGCGTTCCTCTGAGAACACGGCTTTATATCCCAGAAGCTATAAAAACAGCCGAATGCTGGAAAGTTTCCTGCTAGTTCACACTTCCCTGCAGGAGCAGTGCTGCTACGGTAAATCACTGTGACTATATCCCCAGTTGCGGTGTGTGGCACGTGACTAAGGCTTCTTGAAATAACCAGGCAGGATCCAGAGTCGTCAATCATGCCAACGTTTTTCTTGTCTCATTTATCTTCAGCCTGTGCATGCGATAATTAATAAAAATTTTAATTAAGACTCAAAGGGCTCTTAATTACGTCTAAAACTGAAGCACATAGCCGTTAAAATAAAGCGTCTTGTGTTCCTCAGGGACTGCTTGCAACTGAGCCTTCTCCCATCTGGATGTTATCTGCATAGCTCATACCAAGCAAGAAGTTGCTTTCTGATAGCTACTTTTACTTTCTTTGCTTAGGAGCCGATATAGAGATTGTCTACGGGCTGGACGGCCCGGGGTTCCATTCCAGGCAAAGGAAATATATTTTTCCTCACTCCACACCGCCAAGATTGTCTCTCTGGGGCCCATGCAGCCTCCTCTATGGTTCCTGTGGACTCTTTTCGCCGGAGTAAAGCAGCCGGGGCGTGACGCTGACCACTCACCTCCATCTAGTGCCCAGGTCAAAAATGGTACAGCTATTCCTCCACTCCCCATACATCTTTCTGGTGTGGTGCTTAATTAAACACAAGGACAGCTTTACCTTTTTTTTTACCTTTATTTGTTTTGCTTAGTCTTCAGCTCTGAAGATGGAGACAGTATGTTGCTCCGAAAAGCGGTGAACATCTACCAGACTGCACGGCCTCGTATCCCAGAAGCCGACAGTCAGAGAACCCCAAGTCTAACAGCGCTTGTCACTTCAGGCACTCAAAATAGTTAATATGTTTTGATGGTGTAAGGATTAAGATACAACACAACAAATTTCACGGAGCGAATTATTGAGAAGCTTATGCTTACTCAGCTAGTTAGATACTCAGAATACTGTGACATGACGCCTAAAAGCCGGAATAATGGAATCAGAGTAGACGTTAATTGCCAGGCAAGAAACACGTTACCGTGGAAGGAAAACGTGACAGCGCTGTTGCTAGGGCAACAGATTCTTGGTAAACAAACCGTTGCTGGGCGACGCAGACACATGCCCGTGGAAACGGTTAGCATACGCGAATGAACAGTGTTTTCTGTGGATCCTCCCCGAGACTATATAACGAGAAGAACTGAGGTAGTCTCTGGAAGATACCCCGTGTGGAGGCGGGGTAGAATACCTCCACCGTGACCCTGCGAGTCGTAAGAGGCGACAAAAAGGGAAGTCTCAAATCTGAGGCAGTAAAATATGGTCGCGAGTTCCAAGGGACTCGAACCCTAGACATACTGCACTGGCAAGGGCCAGCAGCAGCATATACAAAAGACAGATCAGTCCTCTCGTGAGAGAGGGCGCCCCACAAAAACAAGACCGTAGCCATCAAATAGTAATAAATATCTGGTCATGAGCCCCAGATGAGGCTCGACACCAAGACTTACTGACTGCCTGACCGACCGTCAGTCGCAATACTTTGACTTCGACTTGAGTCTCTAGGGTCGGCAGTCAAAGATGACTGAGAAGAGATGGCAAGAAAGGAATTAAGCTGTGCAAAGAAGACTCCATGTACGCTGCAACTACAATGGGACTGGTATAATTATCATGTTGAAATCCGTTGCCAGGATACGACTAGTGAAGTGTGAGAACCCTAGCGTATGTGTAACAGTGAACTGTAAAGTGTGTAGATCAACGATAGCGCTGTACTTTCCTGTAGTTCCGAGTGGTGTGTTAAAGGTGTCAATAAATTGAATATCCAATCAGTCACCTTTACACGTGACAATATTATGAAACCCGAAGTTTTATTACTCTGTGCCAAGAATAGTCATTTGTCCCTATAATGAACCAGAATGAATCCATTCCATATATTCCCATCACATTGCAGTAGGACCTGTTTTAATAATATCCTACCCATGCCTCGGTACTCCGAGTGGTTCCGTCCTTCAAGTTCTTTATAATTTACAGTACCTAACTCAAGTTCTTTAAATTTATAAGGTCCTGGTATAGCTTTAAATTTACAACAAAATTCTGGGCTGGAAATAAACATATAATTTATTTTTAAAAATATTCGATGTGGAGTTTCTGTAAGCATTTTAGCAGTTTTAATATTATGATACATATTATAAGAGCCAAAGAGAGACGGTTCTCATACACAAAATAAAAGGAAGGTACATTTCTGACAACAGGGTAGTGCAAATATTGAATGTAACACATTAAAAGTAAACACATAAATACTATGTACCCCATTCTCATTCGCTTGAGTCCATTTCTGCTGCAGATAATTGCTTCGCGACCGAGCAATCTGCAATCACGGCTCGCTCACGGATAATGTTGATGTACAGAGTGGGTCAACATGTTCACATGTCAGCTCTATGTTTCTCGTAGCAGTGGCAACGAATGTTACTTATTGTCTTTCGAGATGTAACGCCGTATAGTTGGGTAAATAGTTACCAGTATTTACACATACACCATCTCTTCTACTTTTCTGCCCTGAAGTTTTAGGCAAGGCGTTTTGACGTTCTCATTGCAGTGACTATGAAGATTATTGTGGTTTTTGTCTTGATACTGTGTAGTTTAGAAGATACTTCCAGCGTTTCGGAGGAACCTGCCGCTGCCAACATCGCTGTATCTTATTTACCCTGTCCGTTGCGG